TCATCTTCATTGCTGAAATCTTATTAGAAATTCGTTTCGTTACGTTAAACTCTTTTAAGATGCAATTTTCTTTCTTAAAAACACCTTAACACTAAGGCCATGTGCAAATGCGGTAGTAGACAGTGACCCAAAACACAGCCTAAAAAGGGCTTACTGTAAAAGTGTGGGAAGAAAGGATAGAAGGGGACTCTGAACAGCCAGGGAGCTCCCCCAGAGTCCTGGAGGAAGATAAGTCATCAGGATTAGACCTGGCACTATTCTGTCTTGACCTCAGCTTTCGGTTCTTCTCAGAATCTGAAAGCTGTGTCCCGTAACCCTTCATTTCCCTCCTAGAAGGGTCTTTGTCACATGGCAGGAGTGGTTTTTATCTGTCCCTTAAGAGCAAAGGGCAGCAGTACTTGAAGAGCAGAAGGAAGAAGCTCCAGATCAACTCTGCCGAGGGCCAGGACATAAGTTTATACGTGTAGAATGGAGTGAAGATGCACTTTGGCAGTCCTTTGTTTTGCCAAGTGGCCTAGGCTCAGGCTCCATTGGAACAGCAGAAACCAGAGGAGAGCAAAGTAAATCTCAAAAAAAAAAAAAATCTTTTAAAAACATAAATGGTTAGGCCTTCTGTGTGATATCACACCCCAATGTGAGAACCTGTCAAGGGTTGTATGTGTTGTCAGATGCTTTGTGATGTCCCTAAAGATTACAAACATCAACAGTGATAAAGCTGCAATAACGGTAGTATGTTATTGACCACGTACTTTTTTCCAGGCCCAGTGTAAGATGCTTTAATGGATTTTCCCTCTTACTTTTCACAACAACCTCATGAAGGAGTTAAGTTATTCCCGATTTTATACACGAGAGAATGAGAAGAGAAGCTAAATAATTTGCATGAAATCACACCAGCTAGCATGTGGAGGCACCAGGAGTACATATGAACATTTGGACTTTAGTACCAGCTCTCTGAACCACCAGGCTCTGCTGCTTCCTCCTCTGATCAGTGGTTCTGTGGCCATGTCTACTGTCCCACTGTGGCCATCCTTCCTGGAGGTTCCCAGCCAAGACAAGAACCTGAGCTCATGCTAAGGGAGAACTTCCATGAGGGCTTAAGACTAGAGATGGAGGGATGCCTGGGTGGCTCAGTTGGTTAAGCGTCTGCCTTCGACTCAGCTCATGATCTCAGGGTCCGGGATCGAGCCCCGCATTGGGCTCCCTGCTCAGCGGAGAGCCTGCTTCTCCCTCTACCCTCTGCCTCCTCCCCCCTGCTCATGCTCTGTTTCTGTTTCTCTCTCTCAAATATATAAATAAAATCTTAAAAAAAAAAAAATACAGAGTGGAACCTTCACCTATAGCCTTTGCTCTGCATACAGATGGAGAAAAAGGAGTCATCATTTGCCTCCTTTTTTATTTTCCCTGCCACAGAGCCTGTTAACCTAGAAAGGAGAACTTTAAACTTTAGAGTTGGGAAAATGCTGTTTTAGACATAAGATACTGATTGGTTGGTTGGCTGATTGGTTGCCTGTTTGGTTGCTTGGTTGGTTGGCTGGTTGGCTTATAGAGCTAGCCTAAACATGATGATGTAAATCTTGAGAACTGTAGAACCTGGGCTGACCTCAATGAGAATTCTGTTTTGTGCCAAGGTTTCTACCACCCTCCTATCCTCCAACCCAGCTTTCTATTGAAGTGTAACATGTATGTACAAAGTAAATGGCTCAATGAATTATCACATCTACTCAGTGCCCAGAAGACCCCACATATGTGTTTCTCAGGACTGCCCTACCAAAGTGCCACAAACTAGGTGACTTAAAACAACAGAAATTTATTGTCTCACAGCTCTGGAGGCTGTAGGTCTGAAAGCAAGGTGTTATCAGGGCCATGCTCCCTCTGAAATCCTAAGGGAATCCTTCCTTGCCTCTTGCTAGCTTCTGGTGGTTTGTGGACAATCTTTGGCATTCCTCAGCTTGCAGCTGCATAATTCCAGTCTCTGCCTCATTGTCATCTAGACCCTTTCCTCTATGTCTCTCTCCTCATGGTTTTCTTTAAGGACACCAGTCATATTGGATTAGGGCACCACCCTACTCCAGTATTACTTCATCTTAACTAATTACATCTGTAATGACCCTGTTTCCATAAAAAGGTCACATTCTGAGGTACTGGGATTAGGATTTCAATGTATCTTTTTTGGGACGGGGACATTTCGACCCAGACACCCCCATGTTCTACCCCAATCAGTTCACCTTCCTCCTTCACAAAGGTAACAGCGGCTTAGGTAATATGGTAATATTTATGGTAATACTTATATTATTATTTAAATAATAACATCCCACCAGATCAATGGTAATGAGCAAGGATGTAATAGACATTCAGTAACATTCCGTATGCTCTGCCTGGACATAGGCATGAAATTGTGGCTTTTTTGGCCCTGCCTGTAAGTACTGATTTTGATTCTATTAATTGCTTGACTTGAATCAACAGACACAATATTAACATGCAGAGTCTCTCCACTTTTGCACCCAGAAGTTTCTCCTACAATCTTTTTTTTTTTTTTTTTTAAGATTTTATTTATTTATTTGACAGAGAGAGACACAGCGAGAGAGGGAACACCAGCAGGGGGAGGGGGAGAAGGAGAAGCAGGCTCCCCGCAGAGCAGGGAGCCCGATGTGGGACTTGATCCCAGGACCCTGGGATCATGACCCGAGCCGAAGGCAGTCGCTTAACCGACTGAGCCACCCAGGCGCCCTCTCCTACAATCTTTAGTCAACCTTTTGCATTCTAGTTCTGTTACTCTTCTACATGACCTTTCGCTAATTTTTTCAAGTAGTTGATTATAGGAAGCCTTCAAGAACTGTTTTTGTTTTTTTATTTTTATTTTATTTTTTTAGGTTTTATTTATTTGTTTGAGAGGAGAGAGAGAGAGAGAGTACGAGCAGAGGGGAGGAGCAGAGGGAGAGGGAGAAGCAAACTCCTCACTGAGCGGGTAGCCAGATGTGGGGCTCAATCCCAGGACCCTGAGATCATGACCTGAGCCGAAGGCAGACGCTTAACTGACTGAGCCACCCAGGCACCCCAAGAACTGTTTTTAAAAATGAGCATTGCTGGGGGCACCCAGGTGGTATAGTCGGTTAAGCATTCGACTCCTGGTTTTGGCTCAGGTCATGATCTCAGAGTCCTGTGATCAAGCCCTACATCAGGCTCCGCGCTTAGCGTGGAGTCTGCTTGATATTCTCTTTCTCCCTCCACACGTGCTATCTTTCCCGCCTCTCTAAAATAAATAAAATTAAAAAAAATAATAATAACGGGGCACCTGGGTGGCTCAGTCGTTAAAGCGTCTGCCTTCGGCTCGGGTCATGGTCCCAGGGTTCTGGGGTTGAGCCCTGCATCGGGCTCCCTGCTCCGCAGGAAGCCTGCTTCTCCCTCTCCCACTCCCCCTGCTTTTGTTCCCCATCCTCCCCCCGTCAAATAAATAAGTAAAATCTTAAAAAAAAAATAACAACATTGCTGGGGCACCTGGCTGCCTCAGTCAGAAGAGCATGCAACTCTTGATCTCAGAGTTGTGAGTTTGAGCCCCACGTTGAGTGTAGAGATTACTAAAAAATAAATAAATAAAAATGAGCATTGCTTATCCAACCAACATGGATGGATCTAGAGGGTATTATGCTAAGTGGAATAAGTCAGTCAGAGAAAGACAAATACTGTATGATTTCACTCATGTAGAACTTAAGAAACAAACGAATAAGAGATAAACAAAAAAATGAGATTCTTAAAATACAGAGAACAAACTGGTGGCTGCCAGAAGGGAAGTGGGTGAAAGGATGAATCAAGTAGGTGAAGGGGATGCAGAGTACACTTACTGTGATGAGCACTGAGTAATGTATAGAATTGTGATATCATTATGTTGTACACCTGATACTATAACTGTTAATTATACCTGAATTTCTTTTAAGATACCATAAAATCAGTATTGCTGAAAACACATGTTTTTATATTACAGTCCTAGTTTTATGACCTTGGAGACCTCCTGTAATGTTGTTTTTGTTTGGTCTGGCAGAATAATATATTCTTAAAGTGTCCCTCCCATAAAATGACCTGATCTGTTACTGCATCTTCCCAAAGTTTTATCTTCTCTACCTAAGAAACAGCAAGATGATTTATATAGATTACCACAAGCATAAATTTAATAAGATCAAAAATAAGTATAAATTTTAAGAGCATTCAGGAAAAAAAGTGAAAAAATTTAAAAACAAAAAGGCTTTTTTTTCCTAAAAAAATCATATCATTAAAGTTTTAGGTTTGTATATTTTTTCTAAATGATTCCAAAAACAATTAGTCTAACTAGTTTGAATAAAGACTAAAAAAACAAACAGCCTTACAAACTGGTGGTTACAAACCTTTGCAGCTAATGGTTTGACCAGTGAGTGAACAGAGGCTCAGAAGCATTTCTGCGACTTGCCCAGGGTCACACAGTCAGAGACACCCAGGACCAACCAGCCATTGAACAAAACTCAAAGGAACCAGAAGACTTTCATTTTTAGGCGGTGATGTTTTAAGTTCTAATCTTAGGAAGAAATGCTGTTAGATCAAATTAACTATAAAAATGATCTATTTTGATCTGATGTGAGAAGACAGGAAATCCCATGTCAAACACAAAAGAGATATAGGGGGTCAGAATTCTTTTGATTACCATGTAGTTGCTGCCTGATTTCAAGTGCTGTCTAAAACATCACTGGAAGATGCAGTGTGTAGGTAGCCATGAAAGCAATTTTAAGGCAGATTTTTATTTGCACTGCACATACACTTCACCAGCCTTCTCATTTCCCATAAAACATTTTATATCAAAGGCAATTTAAAAACTTTCTTTAAATTTATGTTTTGTAAGGAGATAAGCAGTAACTAATATGTCAGAGTTGCTGCTTGGCGCCATATTGAGTCCCAGAAATGACCTGGCATTATGAAAGATTCTTCTTCAAAAGGATTAAGGAATACAATAATGTTTTCTTTCTTTCTTTTTCTAGCCAAGGACCCTTGTCATCCATTAGAGCGGTTATCAAGAGATGTAAGTTTGTTTTTTCCTGCTCTGTATTTTCCCCTGTGATATTTTAAATGATGGTTTAGGTTTCCAGCAAGTGATTGTATTTGATGAATCTTACAAAGAATCCAACAAAAGTAGCTTCTCTCTTCTCCTCAGGAGTACTAAACCATTTCAGACAAGCAGTTAGTTTTTCAACTTTCTTTTCAACTTTCATTTATTGATAAGCCCGTTCCTCAGAATAATATTTTTCTTTTACAGAACTAAACTGTTTTTAAAAATGTGGATTATCTGGTCAGTTTTTATGATCTAAAATAAATTTACCATTTTCCATAGGTAGAGACATCTGATGGGTGTAAAAAATGTTAAACCCTGTCCTTTTTGATTCGTTTGTTTCTATAGTGTTTTTATTTAACTGTATAAATGCCTGTGGAGATTGGCCCATGATAGAATTCTCTCCAAAATGGTGCATTCATACTTTCAACCTTACCTCTTGGATAAAGCTTTACGAAGCCTCTTGGTTAAAACTGCTCTTGGTGCAGAATTTTAACATTATTTTTAACAAAAGTCTCTGCAAAGTTCCCTTTAGTGTTAAGGAAACTAAACAGAACATGGATTACCTGTTTTAAACAAAAATAAGGAGGGGATTTTTTTTTTTTTTTAAACCAACCAAATGGATTTGTTCAAGAATAGCAGAGAATTGCAGTGTGGAACAAGCAAGCTACAGCAAAACCATAGGCAAGTCTGCAGAACAAAAGAGAGGAACATTCTTTTAGTAAGAAAAGGGGGGAATTGGGAAGACTGTTATAAAGGAAAAGCCCATTGCAGTAAACTGGGGAGTTCAAAATATAGTGGCTTCTCACTGACTGAGTTATGACAGTCTCTCATTGGCTGGGATTTTGCTGGGGGAGAAGGAAAGCCTTTCTTCTTCCTGAAGGCATAGCAACGAAGTATCTGCTGAGCTCCATCTCTTCCTTTGGATTTGCAATTGGCGACAAGTGGTAGAGCGTGAGAGCTCCCCCCGCCAGCCTCTCAGCTCCATTTGAAATGAGGTTTCCGATAAAGGAGGGATTTTAGATGTTCTTTGCATTATTTGAGCTGAGGTCACCACCCTGAGAAGAATGTATCCTATTTTTAGAAACATAATTTGCAATATTTAGTATACATTTAGGATATCCACAGATTGTGAAGAGCATGCATTTGAACGATTGCAGTGAGAATTTTGTAAAGTGACAATACAGAAGGATATTCTGCATTTCCCACATTTTATTTTTGTTGGTGGTGAATTTATAAAGATGTGGGAATGCCACAGTATGTGTTGAAGGGAATTTAGATATGAAAATGGAAAATTCCTGCCTTAGAGCCCTTTGAGGGCGGGGTGGTGTGTGGACAAGATGGGACACAGAGAAAATATAAAAAGAAAATTAGGGTCTGGAATTTAGGCAAGAACTTTTTGCTGGAGATATAATTTGGGGTTGTCAAGGTTATAGGCAAAACCCAGGAGTGCCTAAACCCTTAAAGAGAAAACATAGAGGCCAGAGAAGATGACAAAGGACAGAATCTTGGGAAATACTGATGTCTGAGCCCAAGTTCTGCCTTTAGGGTGCTGTAGGGCAAAAGGTGAATGACCCCCCAAAATTCTTCCCTGCTAAGAAGGAGAGACTGAGTCCTGTCTGCTGTCTTCTTCTTGGATTTTCGGACCTCTTTGTTGGGGACTGTAATTTGTACTTGAGTTCCCATAGATCCTCTAGTATGGATCTTGCTTTTACCTTGAGGCCCCTATGCCATGCAAGGCTTTGGGAGAAGGCAGCCAAAGTGGAGTGGGCCCCCCCCCCCCAAAAAAAAGGCTGAAAAGTAATGATCAGGGAAAAAAAAAACCAGGAGACAACTGTACATTAGAGGTTAAGGGAGGGGAGGTTTTTTAAAAGAATAAGTGAATCACAAATAGCTCTTAATGCTGCAGCAAGAACAAGCCAAAGATGGCTGAGAATAGGTCATCGTATGTGGCCCTTAGGAGGCCAGTGGTGACCTCTGGGAGAGCAGTTTCAGTAGAACACTGACATTGGAAGCTGCACTTCAATTTGAATAATGGATGGAATATGTGGAAGTGAGGACATCTGGGGTAGGCTACTCTTGTATGACATTTGGTGGTAAACAGAAGAAGGAAGGGCGAGTATCAGAGAGGAGATTTGAACGTGACTGTTCAGGATGAGGAAGCTTGGAGACACTTGTAGGCAGTGGGGAAGGAATTGACGGAGAGATCAGACTGGCGCATAAAAAAAGAGGAATTTGGTGAAATAGGGCCCTAGCAGAGAGGAAGGAGACAAAACAACGGGAAAACTTGCTTTGAGGTATCTTTTTTAAAAAGCAAACAGTAACTCAGTCGTCTTTTAATTCTTATGTATCAGTTACTTTGCATACACTCAAAAGAAATACTTGTTAGTTGTATTATTCCTGGATGTTTAGGCAAGAAGGCCAAACATCCTCATGTGATACTGTGTAAATACAGAATGAAGAATAATTGTGTCCTCCCTTCTCTTTTGCCTTTTTGCCCATTCTGTAAGAAAAAGTTGTAAACAATTTTTGGCCTACCCAATCCAGTGAAATGTCTGTTTTACTATCCCGTACTTAGTCATCTTTCTCCAGCAAGGAGAAAGACTTCATCACATTTCAAAAGCAACATTCCTTGGGGCGCCTGGGTGGCTCAGTCGTTAAGTGTCTGCCTTCGGCTCAGGTCATGATTCCGGGGTCCCGGGATCGAGTCCCACATCGGGCTCCCTGCTCGGTGGGAAGCCTGCTTCTCCCTCTCCCACTCCCCCTGCTTGTGTTCCTGCTCTCGCTATCTCTCTCTCTGTCAAATAAATAAAATCTTTAAAAAAAAATAAATAAAATAAAAGCAACAGTCCTTTACTGGTTGTATTTTAAATTCTTCCATAATGATACTAGTTCCAATCAAGACCTGAGGTTCTTCTTTCTGCAGTTATCCTTGTGAGCCCTAAATATTATGGGTAAAAATTTTGAAGGTATTATACTTGGATATATCTGGAATTTCATGCTTTTCCTGTCATTAACTTTTTAAGAGAAAATTTTTCTCTGAAATTCAGATTCAGCTACTGAATGCCTACTGTGAGTCAGGAACCGCTCACATACATTATAAGACAATGCTCTGCATGGTAGATGTTAACCCCATTTTACAGATGGTAGGGTCACTGAGTCTCGGAAAGGTGAAATGGCTTCACGAGGTAAATCTGAGATTTTAATCTAAGCTGCCTGACTACAACGTCATTGAGCTTTCAACTCTACAGATGTTCTTGTTACCATGTCAAACACGTCTAAATCATACCCAGTCTCAAGGAAATGTTAGTGAGTTATTTTATTTTTATTGTGATTTTCATTGGCAAGGTGGTACTATAGCAATGATGCTTATAATATTATAACCCTTCTGTGTGTTTATTTCATCTGATCATCATTTAATCAATGATTTTGAATTATCCAGCTCTCCTGGCTCCACGAGTTGTTAAACTGCCTCAAGGAACAAAGGGTCCCAGCCCTTCCCATAATAGGCTATGTGACCTGGGATAATTCATTTAACTTCTCTGTGTCCCATCCTCCCCATCTCTTAAGGTTGGAGTAGGATGATCACTGAGCGTCCTTCCGTGCTTATGATCCTGTTGGAGATGAGGAGGATTCTTAGTGCTAGTATTGTAAATCCAGATCTCAGTCTTTTATAAACAGCTGAATATGAATTTATTTTGTACTTAGAATTTAACCATATAAATAGACAAGTTTGAAAATAATTCTGTGGAACGATAGGATAACTTTTAACTGGGGCCTTAATTCGAAATGCACAAAAGACTAGCTAGCAATCTGTGGCAGGGGTTAAAAGGAACATGTTGGTCTGTATGAGCATCAGGGGCAAATTCGTTCATCCTGGCAACAGCTACACCAGATCTGTTTGATCTGGGAAAGTGAGAATGAGAGGAAGTGGATAGTTGAGAAATTAGCAGGAACAGTGTGAGATGCTGTATGAAAATCTAACGTATTTCTAGCCACTAAACTTGTTCAACACTGACAAAAAGAGCCAGTCATTCTGTAAGGATTGGGACAAAAGAGATTTCATAGAGGAGTGAATGTGAAGGAAAAAAAATTCAAAGCAGGAGACAGAAAAACAGTGATTCTCAAAGGACGTGGAGGAGATTCACAATAAGGCTGGGAGACTTTCTCTCCCTCGTTCTGCTGCCTCCAGAGCGGGAGTACCCCTCAGCTAACCAGGGTGCTCCTGTTACTAACCACCTCCGGTGTGAAGGGGAAGAATGAAGTGAAAAGATTTAAGAGAACGTAAATTGACTACTGGATTCCCCTTTGAGTACTGTTTTCATACTTTAAAATTAATCCTTATTGAAGTAGCAAATTGATTTTGCAAAATGGTTTTTAGGGGTTTTTTTTGTTTTTTGTTTTTTTGGGGTTTTTTTTTTTTTTTTTTTTTGCAATGTTGTTAAAAACTATAGGTTTACTGGGGTTATGTGGGTGAATGTCCTGGTCTGTACAGATGTCTCCTTGCCACAACCTATTTCTTTACTCTCTGAAACTGTGGTGCATCAACTTTCCTTTTCCATCCAGGTGTGCCGGTGGGGGAACAAACAGCGGCATGGCAGATCCGTGTTGTGCCTGAATTCCTTTTAAAGCATAGGCAGCTGGTTCACCCCTTTTTTTCCCCTCCCTTTCCTCTTCTCTAACCCCTTCTTTTTTTCCCTTAGCACTCATGAATAGTGCACAGCAAAAATGCCCCGTGGAAGAGGTATGTTTGTGACAATGACATGATACCTTTTTAATAGTGTTGTGTCTGCTGATTCTAATCGGCTGTTGTGATGGTGGTGACGTGATTGTAGCGCACTTGCTGAGCCTCTGTCTGACTTCGTGCAACCATTCGTACAAATCAGATGTGCCACTCGGAGCTTGAGCCTCTCTGTCCTCTTTTATTCCAGGAGACAAAATGCATCTCAGCTTGGTTTAGCTCTCGATAAAAATCGGCGAATGATACGAATGTAGGACTCCTGATAGACCAGCCCAGCATAAGTTCAGCTGTCGCAGCTCCATCTCCAGCCTAGATTTCATTCCCACCTCCCACCTCCACCCCTGCACCCCAGCTTTGGCAGCCTCCGTGTTCAGAGAGGACCCAAAGTTAATAGGAGGAAAGAAAGAAAAGATTCATACTGTCAGCCTTTTCAAGTCAGAAGAATTAAAAAAGTAGAGTACTAGAGAGAGATGAAGGCGACTGGCAGAAATAGTTTATACCTGAAACAAATTCCCCTTTGTGTGCATATCTTTACAGTATAGTACTTGAAGATTTTCTTAAAGGAACTGTTAGAATGTGCTTCTTGAAAATAGGAATAATATTCTCCATTACACGTATGTGTAATATGTGACACCAGATGTGACATTTTCCAGATCACATGATTAAGACTTGATTTAATTTAAAAATAAATTTGGAAAAAGTCTGAACCATCTATAGCTTTTTGAGTTTGAGGCTAAAAGGAAAAGTCAGTGCTGCATATACAGTAATATGTGCAAAAACATGTTTATAAAAGTGTTGTGAACAGTTTTTGCATTTATTACTATCTTTTGAATTTAAGTAATAAAACAATTCAAAGGTTATAAGAGCCCAGAAAAATGAGAAAATAGATGAAAATTGGACCCCTTTCACTTTCTTTACAATAGAGTTGTAAACAAACGTCACAAAAGTGCAGTCATATGGATTAAAATAGATATTTAAAATTTTTTCTGCCCATTGTAATGTCATGTCATTGTCATAATGCTCTTACCAGGCAATTTGTATTTAATAGTTTTTTCTTTTCTCTTTTCATTCTTCAAATTATTCTCAGAACCATGGAATGTGCTTTGGGGAATTTTTGAAATCTATGTTTTCTTATGCAATTCAAATCTGTAACTGAAATTAATTTTATGCCATATAAAAAGATCAGTTTGATTTGCTTTTCTGCTTAAGGATGTTAAAATTCATACATCCTCTATGATTTCAAGTATAAGCTAATTTTTTCCCATAATGTACCCTATAAAAATATAAACCTTTATTGAATGTACTGATTTTGTATTATAGCAGTTTATTCTTTCTTCTGTAGCTTCTCGGACTTCTTTTCAGAGCGAGCTTCATCGAGATAGGAGGTATGGTTATAGCAGAGGTCATGTATTTTGCTAATAATGAAATTGAAGTCTGCTATGTATCAGTTAGCCAGTTAAATATTTCTCTTTCATAAGCAATGTATTACATAACCAGTGTTCCGCCTCACCAGTACATTTCCTGAATTAATCCGTAAGTTAGAATGATGAAAATTTTGGTGGGAGAAGAAGCAATACAAGCCTCAAAATGTTCTTTTGGCAATGATTATTTATTGAAGTTAATTTTTTAAATGTTTATTAAGCACCTGCTATATGTAAAGCACTGTTGTAACTGCTTCAAAGAATTGCTCAAAGAAATGCTTTGTACCTCCCAGCTACTTTGTAAATGTTGCATAAATAAATGGATGACAAGATAGAAAATTGAATGGAAGAATAAGGAGGGAAAAAGAGGCAGGGTGGATGGATAGCTGAATGGATAAATGGCTGCATGGCTGGTGTGAGGGAAGGAGGGAGGAGGGAGGGGAGAGTCATTGGATAGATAGAAGGAAGGACCAGTAAACACACACAGATGGTAGAATGAATGGAAGCATGGATAAGTAGATAAATAGATGAATGGATTTTTATAAGACATGGTCCCTGCTTTCACATTTCTTACAGGGTAGTATAGAATAATGAAGAATGAGGATTTTAGAGTCAGACATAACCGAGTTCAAATTTTGACTTCACTGCCTTCTCACTGTGTGGCCTTGGGCAAGCTGCTTAACTTTTTCTTAGCTTCTGTATCCCCATCTTTAAAATGTTGCTAATCAGGGGCGCATGGCTGGCTCAGTTGGTACAGCATGCAACTCTTGATCTTGGGGTTGTTAGTTCGAACCCCATGTTGGGTACAGAGATTACTTAAAATCTTTAAAAAAAAATGTTGCTAGTCATACCTATCTTAAGGCTGTCATAAGGATTACTGCATGGGTAGTGATTCGTATTTATTAGCCACTAACATTATTTAATTAGACAAAAGCTATAAGCAGAGGTTTTTAGGTAATGCAATTCAAATTTAATCAATAAGCAGGTTCTACTGTTTCATGAGCTGGCACAAGAATGCGTGAATATGCCCAGTTTTGATAATAGCAGTGCTTTTTTTTTTTTTTTTTTAAAGATTTTATTTATTTATTTGACAGAGATAGACAGAGCCAAAGAACACAAGCGGAGGGAATGGCAGAGGAGAGGGAGAAGCAGACTCTGCACTGAGTAGGGAGCCTGACGTGGGGCTTGATCCCAGGACCCTGCGATCATGACCTGAGCTGAAGGCAGATGCTCAACTATCTGAGCCACCCAGGCACCCCAGTAGCAGTGCTTTTTTATTTTCATTTTCTGTAAAGTGCTCGAGAAAGGCAGGGCGGATATCATCATCCCTATTTGTTAGATGAGAAAACTGAGGCTCAGAGAGGTTGATTGTTCAGGGTCACACAGTTGGTGTTTGTTAGGAAATGAGGTTGAATATAAAGTTTAAACACGAGAATGTAGAATCAGATTAAGAAAATGATGAAAGGAGCCGTGCCTGAATCACTGTGGCTCCTCAGTATTACAGGTTAATTATCAAATTCATATACCACACTGACCAGGAGCACAGACACACATAGCAGGGTCTAGAAGTGAACATGCAAACTCTAAACACTTAGAGATGATTTTGAATTTAGGGCAGAGGCTGGGTGAGGAGGAAAAGGATAGTCCTCTTATATGGTATCATATCAGAGTAGATCTTTTATAATGGCAGAAAACAAAACAATTCTATTTGACCAGTGTACTTTCTGCCGTACGTATATTATTATGTTTGTGGTATAGGCAGGATAGCAGAACCCTGGAATGAAGAGATGGTGTGGGTCTTACTTAGCCCTTATCTTTATCCACCAAGGCAGAGCTGAGTGTGCTCAAGGGACATCTCTAACTTTGAGCCCCGGAGTCCTGGAAGATGACTCTCGTTCTCCCTTGATAGCCCAGGCCAGACAGGTCATTTCTAGGACTATGGAGGTTCTTATGTAACTTTTTTGGGGCAGTGGTTGTTTTCACTACTCTCTGAACATGTGCAGATAGACGATAGCTTGTTACCAACCTGCAAACCCTCACTGAGTCTTGTCTGCTAGGCGCCCAGAGATCACCATCGTGGCAGCTGAGCCCCTGAGGCCGGCCTCGTGGTTTCCAGGAGCCCCACCCCCGGGACTGGGATTTCCCCCTTCTTCGGCAGCAGGCCCTTGGAGGCCCAGTGAGCTGGTTCCTGCTGAGGTGAATAAGTATTACATTCTCTTGGCATTTTATTTTTAAAAGTGAGTTCAAAGATAAAAAGAGTGAGACTGTTAATACTTTGGCTCTTGTCCATAGAGGTCTAAAATCTTCATTCTTTTATTTTGCAGCTCCCACCATCTTATGAACAAGTCATAAAAGAAATCAACCAAGTTCAAGTTAATACTACGAATAATAATAATGCTGCTGCCACTCCAAGGCACACTATTACGTCTGCAACTCAGACTGACTTTACAGAAGAATTAGACAACCATCTGCCTCAGAGTAGTGCAAGTAATTTGTCCTCCCTAATTCTGACCTAGTTCTAGGGAAGTAATCAGTAGGCTTCTAGGCTTTAAATAATTTGTGACTTGTGCATAATGCATCGAGCTCTGCTTCCCAGTGAGTGTGATCACTGTGTGCTTCTTTTATTTTGGTTTGCTGTGATTATTACAATAGATCATTCTCATGAGTCGCATCCCCAATCTCGGGGGCTCACCCCAGTTCATATCACAAAAAAAAATCATCCTTTTAACCATGGTAGTATTACTGCTGATCCCCTTTATTCCCATTGAGAAGGAGGTTATATTTAGCAACTTAAACTTGACAGAGTGTAAGGTATTAGGCTTTTAAAAAGCATTGTTTTCAAATAACAGAGATGAGAGTAAGTTACTTTGGAAAAGTAAAGCAAGCAATGTTGGGATTCTGACGAGAGGAAAGGGTTCATGTGGTAAGTCTCCTGGGAATCAAGAATTTAATGGTGTTTTAAAACTATTATGTAATGAATATTTCTCTTATGAATAAATACAACTTGAACACTCCTGTGAGAAGCGGAGTGTAAACATTTCCCCTTGATTTTGGAATTACTTTTTACTAATTAAGGAAACCAAGATCTCTTGATATTCTACATGTATATTTAAACAGTCTGTGTATCTTGTATTTTTTTTTCTTTTAAATTACAATGTTGCAACTTCTGTCTGTGGGTTTTGGTCTTGTCAGAACTACAGGCACCTCTCAAGCCTCTCCAGCCTTCCCCGGCGGTCGCAGCCAGTGATCTTCCAACAAATGTGGCACCTTTAATCGTCTTTGATATTTCAGAAGAACAGAATTGTCCAGAGAATTCCAGCGCTGCAAGATGTCCAGTGCCAAGACCAAGATCAAAAGCCAACCTCAGACCAGTAGCCAGAGACAGTCACATTAAAGCGCCAAATCACCAGAAAACCAGCCCCACGGCCACAGAAAAGGAGTCCTCGCTGAGCCAGCCCCAGTCTTTGTTGGACAGTGCCAACGACTTGGAGAGTCAGGCAGTGATGAACATTATGAACACAGAACGAAGCCAAAATAGTGTCATTTCAAGAATCAAAGCATTTGAGGGTCAGACAAATAAAGAAACCTCGGGACCGCCAGCGAAACCGGAAATTGCTCCCCGCACACTGCCCCCCAGGCCTGCTGTTCCCTCAGGGAAACCCTCAGTGGCTCCCAAGCCGGCTGCCAGCAGAGCTTCTGGAGAGTGGGACTCCCGGACTGAAAACAGACTCAAGGTGGCCCCTAGGGAAGGGCTCACCCCGCACTCTCCACTGCAAGTAGGGAGCATCCCAGCAACCAAACCTGAATTGCCAAAGAAACCAAATGCTGGCCTTACACGAAGTGTTAATCATGAGATTCTGGGAGGAGGGCCTGTGGCTGAGAGCCCTGACGGTGGGAAGAAAGTCCCAACTCCTGCTCCTCGGCCGCTGTTGCTGAAGAAATCGGTTTCCTTAGAAAACCCCAACTCTACAGCTCTGCCGAAACCAGTCACCGTTCCTCCCCGACTCTCAGTGGCGTCACAGGCCAAAGCATTCAGGTCACTGGGAGAAGGACCCCCGGCCATCTCCCCAGCTCCAGCTCTGCAAAGCAAGCCTCCAGGGGACATTGACCTCATCAGTTTTGATGATGATGTTTTACCCACACCAGCTGGGAACCTGGTTGAAGAATCTCTTGGTTCAGAGATGGTTCTGGGTGAGTAAAAAGGAGAAGTGGAAGGGAGTGTAAACTCATCAGAGGGCATCTTGAATGGCACTTGCTGTTTTCGTTTCTACGACCTAATTTCTGGAGGGGTGTGCCTGTGTGTGTATGCACATGCCTGTGTGTGTGTAAGACAGAAACACAGAGAGATGAAGAAACATGGAGCTGGGTAGGAGATGGAGACAGAGAGGGACAGGAAAATCTGGAATGGGGGAAATGGAGACAGAGAAAGACGGAGACACATATTGATAACGACTACATGAGCCAGAAATAAGCAGACTGGGTCTAGCAACTAAACTAGGTGTAAGGCTGGCTTCCTAATTCTGGCAGGTGGAGAGTCAAGCATCAGGGGAATGCAAGGGAAACTTCTCATAGATGCTAAGTCACACAGTGGCCCCAAAAGGGCTCCTCAGTTTGAGCTGGCCTCGCTGGGAGAGCCAAGCGAGGCGCCGGCCCCGGGGAGGACTCCGGCGAGAGCAAAGCCGGGAATGAGGACCGAGCCATATGTAGCAAAATTTTTTTTGCTAATCTTCACAGAACATCTTCCCTGGGGAATGCAAAGTTTTGTAAATAAAATACAACAGCTGTACATTTCCTGCCAGGATCAGGACAATTAAATTTCTCAAGAGGAAATTCAGAAAGTATGTTTTCTTTCCTCACACTGTTCAGATGAAGGGTATGATAGTAAAGCTTACCTTTGATTTGTCAAAGTGAGCTGCTTTACTTGTCATTGATGATTCCTTTTACTGCTGTTTACTTTTTTGGGTAGCAGTTGTGAACATATAAGCCTAGTAGTATTTTCAAAAGGTTAGCTGTCATCTTATAAATGTTCAACATGCATCAAAATGGGATAAGCTCTGTGATTCGAAACCAAATTCTGCACAGCACAGGTGTATTTTAAATGATAACAAACATGTTTATTAAATATTTATCACGTATACAACATGTACAGCATGCCTATAAGGGGTAGAAGGACAGACGTTAGAATAAACTGAGCTTCTGCAGTGTTCCAAACCTTCTGCTAGATACCCAGACCTACATCATTTAATTTAATACTTAGACTAATCCTCTACAAGGTATTGTTGGCCTCAGTTTGCAGAAGAAAATGAGACAGAGAAATCAATGGGTAGCTTGCCCAGTGTTGTAACACTAACAGCTTCCAAGGCATGATTCAGACGTCATCTTTTTATTCTAGGTCTAGTGTATTTTTCATTATATTCCCTTGCTACCCAACATTTGTATGAATCCTTAAGCCAGGTAACACTTCAAGTCTTTGTTACGTCATTTTTTTAATTTAAACCTTTTTGGTGTTAACAAGGTTCAGGGTAGGATAGGGATGGTAAATCCAACAACAGCAAGCTGTTAAGGGGTGGAAACAGCACAAGCCAAAGAAATACCACCTTTTGTAGAAACTGCTGGATTCTATGGAGATGGCAACTTGGTTAATAACTGCTGAGAATTTATTCCCTGTCATCAAACAGGTAATTACAGTCATCTTCCAAAAGAAGGTCAACAGTATACATTCAACATGAATATAGTCTCATGTCTCATACTCAGCCTTTTCTGTTCCTTGATTTCTACCACCTCGTTGCACAATATTTAATTATGTAGGCAGTCTCTTAGCAAAATGTGTAATTTGCTTGCCCTACCTGACTTTAACCATTGCTCTTGACTGTGGAATTACACTGAACGCTTACTTTGTCATCTTTCTAAACCTGCTCCTCTTCCTATTTTCTGCACCTCACTTAATAACGCCATCACATACCCAGCCTTCCTTAGAGAATCCTAGAGATCATCTTTGAGTCTTCTACATGTCACACCATGGCTGTTTGTTTAGACTTGGAGGCAAATAGGCCCGCCGACCACTTAATTGCTATGTGACTTTGGGCAGTTTACCCCACTGTGCCTCAATTTCCTCATCTATAAAACATGGTAATACTACTACTCATGGAGGCAGTACGAGGATTAAATGTGATTATGCAGGAAGGCCCTGTCCCATTGTCTGAAACATGGTAAGTGCTCATTAAGTAGTAATTATTGTTACTTCTTGCCCTTCACATCCAATCAGTTACCAACACCTGCTGGTTTAACCTTCTAAGTAGTTCTTGAGTCCTCCTTTCATTTCCATCCCCCTTACTGCCCCACATTAGGCCTTTATGCCAGGTTACTGCAGTGGCCTCCTAAATTGAGCCCCAACTTCTGCCTCAAACCCATCATCCTCCATATTATGGCTACCCAAGGGATTTTTCTTCTTTTTTTTTTTAAAGATTTTATTTATTTATTTGAGAGAGAGAATGAGAGAGAGAGAGAGCACATGAGAGGGGAGAGGGTCAGAGGGAGAAGCAGACCCCCCGCTGAGCAGGGAGCCCGACGCGGGACTCGATCCCGGGACTCCAGGATCATGACCTGAGCCGAAGGCAGTCGCTTAACCAACTGAGACACCCAGGCGCCCCAAGGGATTTTTCTAGAGGGTACGTTGGACCTTGTTGCTGCCCTGCTTAATGTCCTCCAGAGGCCTTTAGGATCACCTCTGAATTCCTCAGCATGTAGAGAGATTTTTGTTTGTTTATTGATTTGGGGCTTTGTGACTTTTTGATGGTGTATCAATAGCATTGCCTTTGTAAATAAAGGATCATAGTCTCTTTGTGAAACCTTACGATTAAGTAAGATGATTAAATCCTGGCATTAGTCAGAAACTGAGAGATTGACACGAGAGAAAGGAGAGGAACTCACAAATATGTCTTCCCTCCTCTTCCTTCCCTCAAAAAGAAAGAAAATCTAATAAAGCAGTTTTCATAAAATGAAGTTGCTGTATTAATCTCAGGAAATAGAGATCAGAAAATACTGAAGCTGTGAAAACATTGTAAAGATTAGAAAAATTATTAAAGGAAAACTCATAAAACAAGCAGTTTAATATTGGATTCATTTCTTGGGTAGAATGCCTTCCAGGTTAATGTAAATGCAGCTGAGAAGTACTAGCAATTCCTCTTCACACCTTTACAAATCATACCCAGATGTCAAAAAAAAAAAAAGGCAGAATGCCTCTGCTGTCAGCCCCATTACACAGACCAGAATAATAGTTTAGCAGCCGATTTCTGCTCTTAAGAGAACTCAAGGGAAAGAAATGACAGAAAAGCAAGCCAAGGCTGGTGAAACTAATTATGATGACAAGCATATTATGAGAGACAGGTAATGGGCAGAAAACTACATTACCATCAGTGTTTTTCTCAGCCTAGTAATGAAGACCATGCGGACGGAGGTGTAAAAGGCGCCGCTTGTTTGGCAGCAGGTGTAGAATAATTGGTTTGGTGTGAGGGGCTAGAAGGAGGGCAGAATAACTACGGCAAAAGAGAAAAATGCCATGGATGTTCCTTAGATTTGGATAGGAGATTTTTTGTTTTTGTTTTTTTGAGATGCTTTGTGTTTTATCTGTAAAAACAAGAGCAAACTCTGTGATAAGAGCCATGGCACTGTGGTTCTTTTTTTTTTTTTTTTTTTTTAAGATTTTATTCATTTATTTGAGAGAGAGAGAGACAGCGAGAGCAGGAACACAAGCAGGGGGAGTGGGAGAGGGAGAAGCAGGCTTCCCACCGAGCAGGGAGCCCGATGCGGGGCTGGATCCCAGGACCCCGGGATCATGACCTGAGCCAAAGGTAGACGCTTACGACTGAGCCACTCAGGTGCCCCTGGCACTGTGGTTCTTAACCCCTTCTGGGAATCACAGAACTTTGAGAATCTGATTATCCTGCAAATCTTTTACCTCTCTTTAAAACAGCCCTTTAGCTCATGTATACACAATTTCCAGAGCTTCAAGGGCCCATTCTTGGACCCCAAATGAAGGACTTCTACAGAATATTGCAGTAACCTCCAATGGACTGCTTAAATAAATAATGGGACATCTACACAGTGGACGATTGTGTGCTAATTAAAAAGGAGGCACACCCCCTATTACTTCCTACTATGGACCAATCCCCAAGATACTATTAGGTGAAAAACGAGATATGATTAGGTGAAAAACACAAGGTATAGTTAATACTCATGGTACTTTAGCTACTGTTTATGTTCACACACACACACACACACACGTAGTATCTTTGGAAAGTTGTATAAAAAGCCAGTAACAGAGGTTTTCTTTATGAGGGAACTGGTTTGGCAGGAGAGGATGGGGAACCTGGTTTTGAAATCGCTAACCATAAGTAGAATTAGGGTGAAAAACGGGGGGAGTTAGCTCTTGTCATCTTTACCACAGAGAGAGATCACACTGATCCTCAGTCTTTGTGATGAGTAGAAATTTTAAAAAAAATAGCATATGATTTTTCTTTCTCTTTTTCTTTTTTTTTTAAAGATTTTATTTATTTATTTGACAGAGAGAGAGGGAACACAAGCAGGGGGAATGGGAGAGGGAGAGGCAGGCTTCCCGCAGAACAGGGAGCCCGATGCGGGGCTCGATCCCATGACCCCGGGATCATGACCTGAGCCAAAGGCAGCCGCTTAACAACTGAGCCACCCAGGCGCCCCTAGCATATGATTTTTCTAAATTGCTGTTATTCAAGATTATAAATAAAAGCTAATTATTTTGAACTACATATGTGTAAATAAGACATTCAAAAACATGTGCATTAAATCCTATTAAATAGAATCAAAAAAGTTATTTTTCTAGTTATCCTATGGAAAATTTTATGGCCATTTATTGCCTTTAAAAACCAACTAAAAGGACTAGACTTTTCTTTTTCTCCCTCCGCCTCCCTTATTTTTAAGTGGTTTTTGGTTTGGTTTGCTTGGCCAGGGGAGTTATTTCTCAGCTTCATCTTGTTAACTTTTCTTGTTGTGGTTGAATCTATTTTATTGGATTTTTTTCAGTTACAAAGTAACACGTTTGCTGTAACAAGTCAAACAATACAAACATTTAGTAAAAGAAAAAAAAAAATTATCTCCCTCTAGTCCATCCACATCCTCAAGAGTAACCAGTGTGAACAATGTTATATGTAGCCTTCCATGCCTTTGGACATTTCAAACCAAAGCTTACAAACGTACATTCATGTACATTTTCCTACTTTTTTTCAGTCCAGTCGGTCTAAGTCTAACTCCTTGTTTCCTGGTACCTGCCTAATATTTCTTAGTGTGAGTGTATCACAGTTGATTCAACATTTCCCCTATCCATGGACATTGCTTTTAATTTTTTGGATTTCTTTTTCTTCTACAGAAAATGCTATAGTAAACACTCTCATAAACATTGCCATTTCTACTAGTGCTCTTATTTCTAAAGAATAAATTTCCAGAATTGAGACTACTGGGTCAAAGGTTATGAACTTTAAATATTTTCATAGTACCAGCGATCCAGATTCCTGTGTGGCAGTGCCTGGAGTTCCCAAACATGAGATGCTCTTCTTGCTTTATATGTTGCCCACTTTCTTCTGTGAGAGAAAATAACTTGCTCATGAACAGACATAAAAAGTAAACTTCATACTGTGTAGCTAAAGAGATTTGCACACCATCATCAAGATGAAAAAACAGGTCTCTGGTTCCACCTTCTTATTGAAGTGATGCTCTGTGTCCTCCCCACTAATCTTCACACCTTGTCTGGATTATAGCCCTGAATGGCACGCAGACAAAGAGGCAGATGCTGAGCTCACTGACTCAGTGAGCACAGCTGGGGCAGGTCATTAAACAGACTCACTCCTGCCAAACAGCCCGCCGTACTAGAACACTAAGACTTTCCTTGCTTCACTGTATTGAGAAAGAACTTTTTTTTTTCCCAGAGACATGTGTAGTAGAATAATTTTACATGATCTGAGTACCAATTATTAAAGAGTAGCCAATGATATTAAAAATAAAGACCAAGAAAGAGAGAAAGAGTGGGTAACTAGGACACTCTGAGTACTTTGTTATATAAATTGTATCTATACCACTTCAATTTAAATTCTTTAGGCTTAAAAATAATAATTACTGGACCCTTCCATGCAATAGGTGAGGTTTGCACAGGGTGCAGGATTTGGAGCAGGTGTCTTGAGCCCAATCCTCCAACAGCAAGGATAATTTGGATGCCCCTGTGCTTGGCCCCTCAAGGCATCCATTGGTGTCTTTTCTCCTTTCCCTGCCTCTGTTATTCATGCCCTCCCTCCTGGAATGTGAGAGAGTGTAGGTGGCATTCTGGCTCAGAATATAATATGAGTTGGGAAATAATTGAAGTCATCCCGTGCTCAAGATTTTCTTCCCCCTCCACAACCACCCAGAAAAACATCAACTAAAAGCCTATACTAATAACCAAAAGATTATAGGTACAAGAAGCAGCTATTAAAGCAGAAATGCCACCCACTTGTAAGGTAGAACACAGTGAACCGTCACCAGCCTTAATCCTTTTCTTGAATTTTTGGTCCTTTTCCCGACAGAAAACAGAGCCCCGAAAGAATGGGATGTGGCAGCCAAGACTGGGGGGAAGGGAGGACAGTCAAGTCTCTGCCTCAGCTGGGGGGGAAGTCGGTGGGTTCCAACAAGGAGGCAGAGCAAAGGCAATTGTAGGGAGAGATGAATAGAAAGGAAAGATAAACACAGAAGATACTGTTTCTGTGTTTGAATAAAATGCATGCCAGGATTACATAAGGTCTTCAAATTCTTTCACTTTAGCTAGTATCACTCAGAATAGATGATTCAGGGAGCTCACAGGCAAGTAATATTTGCAGTAATGGGCTTTAGTACAAGTGCACATACCCCTTTTTATCCATTGGCACTGCTGCTTCCCAGAGACCAGGTGCATATTATTCAAGTTGGAAGAACTATTAGAATGTGTAAAATCCAGTCGTTGGAAAGATGGTCATCGAGAACTCCCCTCCCCTCACCCCTGCACTCTTGTTTTATGCTGCAACCTTCCATTCTCCCCACAATTGGAAGTCTCTCACCATGCTTTACTTTTTCCTTTTTCAGTAGTACTTCTCACGTGGTATACCAAATGAGCTACTTACTATTACATTTACTGTTTATTATCTCCATCTCCCTGCTAGAATGTACGTGCCATGAGAGCAGCGTTTTTTGCTTTGTTCACTGAAGTATTCCCAGCACCTAGAATAGTATTTGATTTGTAGCAGACATCCAATCAATTTTGAGTGAACAAAAGTGAAAAAGCAAATTACAAGGCAAGATATAAAATCCTGTTTTTCTTGTTTATCAAAATATCTACGTAATAATACATGCAATAGTGTAAAAAATCTGTAGGCAGATACACCAAATTTTCATTATTACTGGAGGGATGGGATTACAGGAGACTTTCCATCATGGATTTCTTAATGTTTCCCATTTTTACAATAAATTGAAATGCTATAACAAAATATAGAATTTTAAAATTTGGTTAGCCCTAAAAGAAGGAACTTTGTTTTGTGAGGACATAGGTTACAGTGGAAGAAAGTTATATTATTACAAGAGCCTTTTTTTCAAGTTTGATACTGTTTTGATAATCCTGAGTTTTGTTTTGTTTTTTAAGATTTTATTTATTTATTTGACAGAGACAGACACAGCAAGAGAGGGAACACAAGCAGGGGGAGTGGGAGAGGGAGAAGCAGGCTTCCCGCGGAGCAGGGAGCCCAATGTGGGGCTCGAACTCAAGACGCTGGGATCATGACCTGAGCGGAAGGCAGATGCTTAATGACTAAGTCACCCAGGCGCCCCCCTGAGTTGGTTTACACAAGACTTGCCTCCCTTGTGAACTAATAGGTTTCCATAAAAGAGTCATCTAATATACTTTTTTTTTTCCTCAGTAGCCTAGTAATAATTGTTTTTACCTGGCACGCCACCTGAGGGCCATTCCTAGGTGGTAGATAATAAATGGGATCGTACTGTACCACAGTCACCTCCCCACCTACCACTGTTCCTGGCACATGGTAGACGTACACATGTGAGCAAATGGCTCGTGAGTGAGTGATGATGCCTTTGGTGGCATGGATGATGGTAGGGTTGCCTGGGAGCTGGGGGAGGTGGGGAGGGAAGGTCAGGTAGCAGGGGACTGAATGGTCTTCTTATCCTTAGCTCAGCTCTTCGTGTGTCCTGAAAATAGCTGGTCGGCAAAAGGTGCTTCTCAAACTACAGCTCACAGTCAGCAGAATATGAATGCTGTTCATCACAGGAGCTATGGTGTGTGTATGTTGTTTTTACAGGGAGTATCTCCCTATAGTGAAGAGTCTATAGAACAGGTGCAGAATTAGAGCATATACTCATTCTGCCTCTTGTAGAATTCAGGGCAAAGGAGGCCTCAAGAGAGCCTGTGTGCTACATAGAGTATCCATTATACAGCATTTATTTTATTTTTGCTAATCTATTTATTTTTAGATTTCTCATCTTTAAAAAATTGTATGGTCATTTTCCCGAAGTACTGAAAAGAATATTTACATTAAAGAAAAAAAAAAAGACTATTCCTTTCAGTAAAAAAAAAAAGTTCGGTATTTATGTCTTTGTTTAAAAATACTTTCTCTGATGGGGCGCCTGGGTGGGATGGGGCGCCTGGGTGGCTCAGTTGGTTAAGTGACTGCCTTCGGCTCAGGTCATGATCCTGGAGTCCCAGGATCGAGTCCCGCATCGGGCTCCCTGCTCGGCAGGGAGTCTGCTTCTCCTTCTGACCCTACCCCCTCTCATGCTCTCTCTCTCTCTCTCATTCTCTCTCTCAAATAAATAAATAAAATCTTTACAAAAAAAAAAAAACCTTTCTCTGAGCATATATTGTCAATTTTAAATGAATCCGTTAAGATGGAGAAATGCTAAGCCGGTGCCTTGCCCCTAAATTAAATGTTTGAAGGAAGATGTCTTATTTTATTTCCAGGATAAAACACTTTCCATTTTCATGTTAACTGAAGTATGGTTTTACTAAACGACTGACGCTCAGGCACGGTGCTGGGTAGGATGGAGGCTCTTGGTGAGCCTTATGGATCAGTTTTCTGGGCCAGGCACAGGAGTGTGGGGGAGTAAAGACCTTTTCTGGGGGATCTGGGAGGCCTCACAAGAGGGGGGACATTGGCTCCTCATTTCAATTGCCCCTCATTTTCAGGCGACACTTATGAAATGATTATACTCCCATGAAAGATAGCTTCTACATAATTCTAGATTGTCCTGGATATCTCTCATCAGAGAGGAAGAAAAGCCACATGAATTATTTACAGAGCACCAAGTTATTTCCTTTCATGAGCTCTGACTTTGTTTTTGTCTCTGCAAACTGAGATTTTGTTTATCCATGAATAGTTTTCCCTGGGGCATGAAAATATGACTCTTTCATTATGAATGAGATTTTTTGTTTGAGTCCATGTTAACTAAAACATGCAAAATAAACTGTTTTTCATTAGATCCCTTTCAGCTCCCCATAAAAACAGAACCAACAAAAGAAAGAGCAGTTCAACCAGCACCCACCAGGAAGCCCACTGTGATTCGAATTCCAGCCAAACCAGGAAAATGTAAGCACTAATCAGCCTTCTTTCTTTGCTTTTCCAAGAGCCTGGGAGAAATATATATTAATTTGTCAATGTCTGCTTTTGAAATTATGTGTGATTGGCCATTTGTTATTATTTATAGTCAAAGGAGATTTAAAAAACAAGTTCTTGGGGCTCCTGGGTAGCTCAGTCGTTAAGCATCTGCCTTTGGCTCAGGTCATGATCCCAGGGTCCTGGGATCGAGCCCCACATCGGGCTCCCTGCTCGGGAGGAAGCCTGCTTCTCCCTCTCCCACTCCCCCTGCTTGTGTTCCCTTTCTCGCTGTGTCTCTCTCTGTCAAATAAATAAATAAAATCTTTAAAAAAAATAAATAAAAAACAAGTTCTTTTTTCACAGTTCTTTAGACAATTGGTACAGTAAATGTGGATTTCATTTGTCTATACTATTGTCTCTAGGCAGAGAGAATAGAGGGAGACTGAAACTTAGAACAGTTGTAGTATCCGGTTAGTGTTTCAGGTAAGGATGGTGGGAAAGTACAGTTGACCCTTGAACAACACAGGTATGAACTGTGTGGGTCCACTTATACACAGATTTTTTTACAGTACGGTACTATAAATGTATTATCTTTATGGTTTTCTTAGTAGTTAAGTTTTGGGAGAGGCAGAAGTTACATGTGGATTTTTGGCTGCGCCAGGGTGTCAGCACCTCTAACCCCCACGTCGTTCAGATGTCAACTCAGTGAAACTGATAGCAAATAAAGTTGTATGTGTCTGTCTGGATACAGCATAATCTAAGTATAAGTATGTATGAATTGTGTGAAGAGCAGTAACCAAGAGTTATAAAAACGTAATAATGTATAAAATTTTTTAAAATTAGCGTAATACTCCATTTTGATATTATTTCCTGACTTGATTTTTTTAATGGTACAATAAATGAAATTTCGTATGAGCTTTTATAAGGACTGCAAAGAAATCTGATATTATTGTGAGACAGAAGCCAAGAGGGCCAGTCCCATTTATTTTAGACCCTGAAGATCGTTAAAAGGTATGTGTAAAAGTGTGCGTACGTATGCACACACATGCTTGTATGGTAGGTTCCAAATCCATTCCTAGCATTGCTCGGAGTGATCACACAGTTTTCGCCATGAGCTTCTGCTATCGTTTCATTTCATTCAGTGCCTTTGCATAGTCCAGATGCATCCCTGCCTTTATGGAACAGGAGAACCTCTCACTCCGTTCCTCCTACTAGCAGATCAAGCGTCGTCCTTCACCTGTCTATAGCATCCCCAGGTTATTTTGCAGGCATACCCTGGAATGCCATGAAACCCCTTTCGTTCAGGGTTTGGTTTTTCTATAAGAAACTACCCAGAGCGATCATACTGGTTTTGATCTTTTGAGTGTTTTGTTATTAACTGATGGCTCTAAGCCACATGGTGAGAAGATTAAACTGAGTTACTATGAAGAATGAGGAGGAGAAAAAGTCAAGGGTACCAAATTCTGGTGGGTTCTCGCTTCTTAGGAGGTTATATGGTATATTAAAGAACTGGTGGTATATTTCTTTTGACAGCATTATATAGCCCTTGTGGGCTATGTAAGTATCACAGATGATAGTTCATTGGGTTGTTTGCCTGCTTGCTGTTACCTTGTTAAAATGTATTCTGGATTTTAACAGGCATAGTGAAATACGATGATAATAAATATTGCCCGAAGCTCATGTAGGTTTTAAGTAATACAAGTTTTACATTTAAATTTATTCTCCTGTTGTATCAGGGTCCCCAAGACCCCCGGCTTTGATGATCCCTAGGAGGCCTGGCAGGACTTAGCATTTAGTTATGTTCACAGCTGTGATTTATTACAGCAGAAGTATACAAAACAAAATCAGCAACAGAAGACGGGACATTGGGCAAAGTCAGGAGGAGTCCTGGCACAGGCTTCTAGGTGTTCTGTCCCAGGGAATCACAAAAGCTATACTTAACTTCCCCAGGAACCAGTTGTGACAACACAGGTGAAATGTTGTCAACCAGTGAAGCTCATTAGACACTCAATACCCAGGGTTTTCATTAGGGGTTGGTCACATAGGCACCTCTAGGAATTTTGGCATGTTCCAAATTTCAGATTCCCAGAAGGGAAGCAGATATTCAGCATAAGCCAAATTCTTTCGTTTCATGAGCTCTGGGGATGGTGGGAACCTTCCCAAAGTCCCAAGTTCCCAGATGCCAGCAAGGACCCACCCTTGAAGCAGGCCTTTCTAAGCACAAGTAGCCTCAGGCCTACTATGTTTATTCTTGTCTGCATACTTATAAATTGGATTAATAGTCCTGGAATCCTGTAAAGGGTATATTGAGGAAGCACCTTTATTTATTATTCTGACAAAGTTCCGGGAACTGTTAGAAAGTTGGATTCTAACTGCTGTATGTGAAAGAACTGAAATGTCAGTTTCTAGAGCATTATTTCTATTTATATCAAAAACCAGTTCCCCAGCACTGTATTGTTACAGTTATTAAGCAATTCATATGTGCTGTGGAGGAGGAAAAACTTGGAATGGTTGGAAGAACTTGGAAAAGTTGGAAGAACTTGGAATGGTCAAGTGAAGAAAGGAATAGCTTTGTGGTGCAAAACTCCTTCGTCTTCTGTGAGCCTGTGTCAGTTCTTTCCCCTTGAGACTCATTTCTTCTGACTAGGATGTCCTTTTCCCAGATAGGTACATGCCTCCCTCCTTCACCATTCCTTCAAGTTTTCAAATTCCACTTTTCTCATTGAGACCTCCACTGACCACATGATTTGAAATTGGAAATCTCCACCTACCCCACACGCTCATACTTGATAGTCCCTATGTCCCATCCTGCCAGTAAGGTATTTCCTCTTTACTTTCATATTAATACTACTTTGTACCCTTAATTGTCACAACAATGCAGTATCCTAAGTGATACATCATTTCCTTACAATAAAAAACTGGGAGCACCTGGGTGCCTCATTCGTTAAGCATCTGCCTTTGGCTCAGGTCATGATCCCAGGGTCCTGGGATCGAGCCCCACATCAGGCTTCCTGCTCCGCGGGGAGCCTGCTTCTCTATCTGACCCTCCCCCATCTCATGTGCGTGCTCTCTCTCTCTCAAATAAATAAAATTAAAAAAAAAAAAATTGTACCAGAGGGAGAGTCTTTAAGATGGCAACTGAGTTTAAATGTTCCTGTGTGTCTTCGTTTCCAGAGCAGCCCTGCCTCTCACTAAAAATGCTTGCCTGTCTCCACATCGTTGTTTTCCTAGTAGCTGGTCTGGGTATTTTCTTCCTTTAGAGAGTGTTTTCCTGCCTCTAGATAAAATAGGAACCTGACAAATTATCCTCTGATTTATAGGTGTTTTATGTGAAATGAGAGCAGAGAGCGTTCCTTTGAAAGAATGAAAAAAAATCCCATCTCCTTTAAGTGTCTAAATCTGTGTAAAAGGTGGCTTTCACCTCCTTTATTATCTTATAGTCTTCCTCTCTCCAAGTGATTTTGCACACAGATTTTAATTAGCTGTCACTAATGAAATCCGATCTTTTTCTTCTTTTTAAAGTATGTTGGGGGAGGGGCGCCTGGGTGGCCCAGTTGGTTAAGCGACTGCCTTCAGCTCAGGTCATGATCCCAGAGTCCTGGGATCGAGTCCCACATCGGGCTCCCAGCTCAGCGGGGAGCCTGCTTCTCCCTCTGACCCTCTCCCCTCTCATGCTGTTTCTCTCTCTCCCTTGATCTCTAATATATAAATAAATAAAATCTTTAAAAAAATAAAATATGTTAGGGGGGTATACTATCACTGAGTTAAGGATGCAGTTTGGATGTAAAGGTATTGTTTGTTAAAATGAAGGCAGTTGGGGCGCCTGGGTGGCTCAGTCGGTTGGGCGTCTGCCTTCGGCTCAGGTCATGATCCCAGGGTCCTGGGATCGAGCCCCGCATCGGGCTCCTTGCTCAGCGGGAAGTCTGCTTCTCCCTCTCCGCTGCCCCTGTTTGTGTTCCCTCTCTCACTGTCTCTCTCTCTGTCAAATAAATAAATAAATAAAAATCTTTAAAAAAAAAAAAATGAAGGCAGTTAAGTCAATTAATCTGGAACTAATGAATTAGAAAACACATTTAATTATTTGGTTGGGGAAGTCTGGATACGCAGCTTATTAGGAAGCACCATTCCGTATTATAGTGAGCACAGGGTCTAGGGGTCAAAACCCTGGATCTGACAATTACTAGCATTAAGACCTTGAATAGCTTATTTATTTTCTTCCCAGCTTTGCTTTCTTCATCTGTAAAATAGGTAAGTTATTATCTAGCATAGTGCTGTCCAATAGGACTTGCTGCAAAGATGGAAATGTTCCATAACGGTGCTGTCCATTATGGTAACCGCTAGCCAAATGTGGCTCCTGAGCACTTGAAATGTAGCTTGTGCAGCCGAGGAACTGAGTTTTTAATTTTGTTTAAGATTTAAGTTTAAATCACCACATGTGACGACTGGCTAGTGAACTGTGCAGATCTAGCACATAGACATCGGTTGGAGAAATGTGTATGAACGAAATGCCTTAACTTAGTGCCTGGTGCGTTGAAGGTTCTCAAAAATGCTAGCTGCTGTTGCATTTATTTAGTATTATTTTTACTCTATACAACATTTAGTGAAACTAACTGATGTGTCCTAACCCATCGGTTTTCTGAGGTTTCCTAGCTTTTTCTCATTTACTTAGGTGTCCATTCTTTGTGTGGATCTCTTGTGATAGCCTTTTTCCTGAGGAACCAAGCTGCAATCATTTAATCTTTCAGAATCCCCAAAGGCCAGAAATTATTGATGAATTACTGCTGTTTTTCCAGGTTTACATGACGATCCACAAAGCCCACCTCCTCTCCCTACTGAAAAACCTATTGGAAACACTTACAGTACGGTATCTGGAAAACTCAGTTCTGTTGACAGAACTAGAAACTTGGTAAGTCGTCCTTATAAATTGTCTTAGATCGAAGACCAAGCTGTGTGCTAATTTTAAATTATGATGTCTGAATTATTTTACTATTGGTCACATAAAGACCTTTATTGCAAATCAGTTCTAAGCCCCACATACTTACTTAATGTGATGTTCAATCTTTTTTAAGTTCCTGTAGAACAAAAGAATTAGGCCAGTTCATTGTACTTCATCATAAAATAATTTGTCCTATACTGATATAATGACATTGTCTTTTATATGGCACTAATCATGAGGAAGTTATTGAAAATCTCTAAAAACCTTTAATATTTGTGGAAATAGACTTAGTCATCAGTTTTTATTTAAAATACCCAACTAGTGACATAATTTTAAGATAATTACCATGAGAATTTGTTCATCTGAAATTTAAGGAAAAATTATTTTTTAATTAAAAAATAGTACTTTACCATGTACTTGTTAACAATGGTAGTCAACAAGTTTTAAATATATATATATATATTTTTTTCAACCTCAATACCATTTCCCCATACTGTTTGTAATTCCCATATGCTAGATTATCTTTTAAGGTTTGTTTCAAAAGAGACAAGTTCCTTAACAAGTGTTGGCAAGGATGTGGGGAAAAGGTAACCCTCTTGCACTGTTGGTGGGCATGTAAATTTGTGCAGCCACTGTGGAAAACAGTGAGGAGGTTCCTCAGAAATTTAGGAACAGAACTACCATATGATCCAGCAATTTCACTTCTAGGTACTTACTTAAAAAAAAAGTGAAAACACTAATTCAAAAAGACGTATACACCCCTGTATTCATCACAGCATTGTTTGCAGTAGCCAAGATAAGGAAGCAGCCTAAGTGTCCATCAGTAGATGAATGGGTAAAGAAGATGTGCTATATATGTACAATGAAATATTACTCAGCCACAAAAAAAGATGAAATCTTGCCTTTGGTGACGACATGGATGAACCTAGAAGGTGTTAAGCTAAGTGAAATAAGTCAGGCAGAGAAAGACAAGTGTACTGTATGACTTCACTTATATGTGGTATCTAAAAAGCAAAACAAACAACAAAATAGAAACAGACTCATAGATACAGAGAACAAACTGATGATGGTTGCCAGGGGGAGGTGGCAGGATGGGGGCTTGGGATGGATGAAATAGGTGAAGAGGATTAAGAGGTACAGTCTTCCAGTTACAAAATAAATAAGATATGGGGGTATAGTATGCAGCATTGGGAATATGGTCAATAATACTGTAACAACTTTGTATGGCGACAGATGGTAACTGGACTTACTGTAGTGCCCATTTTATAATGTATATAAATACTAAATCATTATGTTGTACACCTGAAACTAATACAATATTATATATTAATTATTCAATAAAAAATTTTTAAAAAGCAAAATTAAAAATTTTTTAAAGGAACGAATTCTTAATGTCTTTGAACCAAATTTTCAGTTCAAATTTCATAATAGTTTCATACTGTGCATTAACTATGCTTATTATACATGCAAACCCATCTAACCATCTAGTGAAAAGATATTTCTTTGAAGGAGACATTAAATTAAATTAGCCAATATCAAGTTAATGAGATTTTCCTGTAGGCTGAACTAAAATTTAGTGATCATTTGCATTTTCAAAGTACTTGGTAATAAATTTTTATTAAAACTGGGCCAAGAAAGCCCAAAAGGCAATGACTGGGTCCTTACAATACTGTTGTTGAATAGGAGAAAATCCCAAATTTCCGTGGAGGAAAATTTGCTTGAGAAGGTTACTGGCTTCTACTCTAAAGGGTTGTTAAGGAGAGTGAGAGGATGATGAGCAGGCATATATATCATTCATGAAGTCATGTAATGGGCTTTTGTAAACCATAAAGCTCTATTAAAATATTAGGTATTATTACATTTGGTGTTAAGCAGACCACAAAGCAACTCCCACATTTTAGAAAAACAAGAAAAGGAAGTTAGAATAAACGAAACCATTTGGAGAGGTACTATAATCATAATTGTACCTCACATGAACAGGAAAATCCTGTCCTACACTGTTTATGAAGGAGGGCCAAAGCATTCTGTGCTGTACTCTAGAGACATACTGGGTCTAAAATAGAGCAAGAGGAGATAAGAAACAGACCACAAGTGAAATGAGTTGGCTAAAGTCACACATAGAGATTTCTAGGGCCAGGAAGTCAAATCTCTGCCTGAGAAATTCCTTTTCTTTGAGAATTACAATTAGTGAATGAATAGTAGACCAGAAGACCATAAAGCTTTCAGGTATCGGGGAGGATCTCTAGGAAGACTACTTCACCAGTGTAATGACCCATGAGAATAGGCCTGGTCTTTGCCAACTGTGTCTTCTGATGAGACACAGAGGACGAAAACTCTCTACTATTTCTCCTGCCTTGAGAGCCAGGGAACTTTCCATCGTAGGACAAGATGACTGTGTTACAAAATCTCACAAGGGATTTTAGGGTAAGGAACATTAGGAGCCCCTGGAACAGGAGCAGATGCTTCTGTGTCCCCTGTTCTCACCGTGGGAACTCAGGGCTTCCACATCTTCTCTCAAGGAGGCTGCCAGCCATTGCAGGAGGAGAGTCAGGAGACACCACCTGGTATGTATAAGGAATCCAGGTGGTAGCACTGACGCTGGCCATTGAACTCAGGACCTAAAAAGTGGTGCCAGTTCCTGGGGAAAGAAGAGAAGGAACATCTGTGGAGGCTGCTCAGTAATTCCAACAGACAAGAATACCTCCTGTCTTTGGAAGTTCAGCAAAAAACTGGGGAATTATTTTGAAGTTAGAGTGTAAGAAGCTGTTCCAAAGCAGATGAACAAAAAGATGGCATTTGCAGGGGACAGTACACACAGAAAGACCCAACTTCGCCGAGAACTAAAATGCCTATCCAAACACATCAAAAGCCAAAGTTCAGAGATGTCAGAGCTAAAGAAAACTACAAAAAGCAGATGCAGAGAGGCTCCAGTTAGGTGTGGAATATTAAAGAGGAGGAAATCCCTAATCAGTAATCTTCCAAAGACTGTTGGCAGAACCCGGGCACAAAGCTGGACTTTAGCAGAGAATGGCCTCCTCAGGAGCCACTCCTCTCTTCTCAGTATTTACGTGTGCGGGACACAGCAATGCCTTCTACAGCGGCCCCGACGTTCCTGGGTGGTGAGAGCGCTCCACCGCCCTCCCTGCTTTTTTTTCTGAATTAAAATTTTCTCATTTAGAAAACTTGAGAAACTGGGGCACCTGGGTGGCTCAGTTGGTTAAACGACTGCCTTCGGCTCAGGTCATGATCCTGGAGTCCCTGGATCGAGTCCCACATCGGGCTCCCTGCTCGGCAGGGAGTCTGCTTCTCCCTCTGACCCTCCCCCCTCATGCTCTCTCTCTATCTCATGCTCTCTCTCAAATAAATAAATAAAATCTTTATAAAAAGAAAAAAAGAAAACTTGAGAAACTAAAGAGATACTTAAGATCCTCCATAAAGATAACACCACTGAGAGAAAACTACAGCTAGTATTTGACACAAGATTAGGATTCTCTGGTGTGTAGTTATTAAAGTACATCACCTATAACTTCGTCAGATTTCTACATCTATATTTTTTTAATTTGCCCTTAATTATTATCTAACAACTGTAATTTTGAGAAAACCAGTAAGAGTTCTTGCCTATCTGCTAGATTGTTTTTCTGTTTGTTTGTTAATCTTAAAGATGGCCAAAGATGTGAGTGAGTTTTTCAAAATCATAGCAGTATTTGTCAGTGAGGGGGGAATATGGGCAGCAGCGTATTTAGAAGGCATGGATTAGACTATGGAATATTGCAGGGTTTATGCACTGGTGACTCACCTCACTACATTAACTGAACTCATTAGTGAAACCAAGTTTTAAGGGCAAGCTTAATTTATTTTTTAAAAATGGGATTTTGAAACATACTTAAATGATCGCAGTTATTGGCAATTAATCATTCGGTATTTAAGGCAAAGTTAATATTCAGTTTGAATTAAAACACCATGGAACTGAGTTTTAACTCATTTATAAGGTGAGAAGGAGGAAAACAGTCTAAATTAGCCCAAAGAACCCCAAGCGACAGTTAAACCTTCCTTACCAAAAAAGGCAGTGTAATTTTAAAGGGCTAGCATTTTTTCCCATGTATTATACTCGTTTCCCAATCCTTGGGCTACACCATGTTTGAAGAACCCATTGAAACAGCATAGTTGGAATCCTTTACCCTAAAGAAATCTTCCTGTTGTTCTCCACACTTCCAATTTTTCGCCTCTGCTGTTAGGCTCATACACTCCTGCTCTACCTGTCTTTTCTTTTTTGAGTTATCCTCCTTTACCTTTTCTGCTTTCTTGGACCTTTTTCTGTTCCTCTTCACATACCTTCCTTTTAGGCCATCCCTTAAGCTCCTTTTATGTTCTACCTCCTCCTAGTTCAAAAGCCACCGCACAAAGTATAAACCACCTGGTGATGAGAGATCTGCCTGTTGGAAAGCAAAACAAACTAATCACCACCTCACGTACTATATGTTTAAACTGAGGAGCAGGGCATATCTTACGTGTTGTCATGGGATAAATAAAGGCCATATATTTTTTTTAACTCCCCACAGTGCCTGCTTAAATTGCTACTGTGTATGATTTCAGCAGCATCCTTCATACCTTGTGAATGTGCTGGGTGCATAACCACGTGGTACCCTCGGGTGGGCTACGGCCCACAGCAGCAGACCCCCTGGTCTCCTCTCTGGTTTCACTTATATAAGGACTTGAAAACTTAGGTAGGAAGAAGTAATGAGTTAATATTGCTTAAGACCAAAAACGCTTCAGCTACTTTCTGTAACTCAGCTACATTTCCCCTTAGAGATCTAGCCAAAAAGTTGTCCATAATTCCTCTTGACAAGCTCCTGTTTCAGATTAACCTTAACTAAAGAGCATTCTCTGGTAATTGTAGGAATCTGACCACACGGGTCAAACAGGAGGTTCTGTGCGAGGACCCCCAAGGTTGCCACCAAGGTAAGTGAAGTGTGGGAAAACTTTAAAAAGTAAAGGGCTGCCTGGCAGGCTCAGTCAGAAGAGCATGCAGCTTTTGATCTCAGGGTCATGAGTTCAAGCCCCAGATTGATTGCAGAGAGTACTAAAAAAATAAATAATCTAAAAAAAGGGTAAATTAGATAAAAACTAATGGTTCAGAGAGTGGACTCTCTTTTCTTTTCTTTTTTTTTAAGATTTTATTTATTTGAGACAGAGAGAATGAGAGACAGAAAGCATGAGAGGGAGGAGGTTCAGAGGGAGAAGCAGACTCCCTGCGGAGCAGGGAGCCCGATGCGGGACTCGATCCAGGGACTCCAGGATCATGACCTGAGCTGAAGGCAGTCGCTTAACCAACTGAGCCACCCAGGCGCCCTGGACTCTCTTTTCTATCATCAAAACTGAGTATTGGGGTGCCTGGGTGGCTGGCTCAGTTGGTTAAATATCTTCGGCTCAGGTCATGATCTTGAGGTCCTGGGATCGAGCCCCGCATCAGGCTCGATCTCTCTCTCTCTCTAATAAATAAATAAAATCTTTAAAAACAAAACAAACTAAACAAAACTGAGTGTTTTGGATCTTAGATATTTTGGAGATGCATTGAACTCACGAATTCACCCAGACCACTAGCCTCTAGTCTGCTTCCCATGGCAGGTTGTAGGAATCTGTGCTCCTTCTTTCTTTTCACACAGTCCAACAACTCACAGAGCACAAACATGGATCTTTATTACTTTTCCTCAATTAAATGAACAACACTCCTTTCTGAACCTAAAGCAACTCCATTTCTGGAATGTGTACATGCACACGCACACATGCACACTCCCTGTTAGGAGAAACCAGCCTGGATTTTGGAAGTATCTCTAGAGGGAGACAGGCTTTGTGAGCTCAGAGGTTACCTGCCCTCCTGAGTTCCAGGGCTCTTTGAACTAAAAGCTATGATGTTATCGGAAGGTGTTACTTTGTTGGAAATTATTCTTATCATAGGGATTGAGGGACAGCTTTCAAAATAATAGTTGTCCTATCCCATTTTCAGAATTAGCTTTCTTTATATTAATCTAAATTAGGGTTTTAATAATAATTCCTATAACACGAATATTGGGGGAGTTTGATGTTCCTTTTCTAATTACGTATAAGACCCCATCAGATACACCTCATAACTTCTTATTAGCTTCTCATCTGAGACTTTGGTAGAAAGTGCTTAGTCTCCTAAAGTCGTCATGGTGTGTTTCAGAGTAAATGGGGCCTTAGAGAGCTCATGATAGTAAAGCCTTGTTTGTCTGAAACTAATGAATCTCTAGTGCAAGATAAGAGGAAGCTGGAGCATCATGGTATCTCCTCTAATAATGTTTAATGCAGCAGTCATTTGCTCAAAAATAGCATACCCTGCATGTTTTAGTAAATTATATTACACCAGCAGAAAGCTCTGTGTGTGTGTGTGTGTGTGTAATAAGAAAGAATAAAACAGGACCCTAATACCGATCAAACACGGACTCATAGCTACCACGTTGACTTTCAGACCTGTAAATGGAAAAGTTACACCAGCTCGACAACCTCCTCCCAAGGGAGCCCCTGAGAGACCACCTCCCCCCAAACTTTCTGCAACCAGAGCATCCAGTAAAAAACTGCCTTTTAATCGGTCTTCTTCTGACATGGATCTTCAGAAAAAGCAAAGTAACTTGGCATCTGGACTCTCGAAAGCCAAGAGTCAAGCCTTTAAAACTCAAGATCCGGTGCTGCCCCCTCGCCCCAAACCAGGACACCCTCTCTACAGGAAATACATGGTAAATGTAGCTTTAAAAAATGTTTCTGGTCAAAAGATTTGTCCTAAAGTATATAAAAGATCCGTTATTCCTTAGAAAAAGATGATGAGACCAAATGTGGAATTGCCTCTTGATGCAAAGAAGGCTTTAGATAAGTAGGCCAGAGTGAAACCTAGGTCTTTAAAGCAGGGTTTCGTTATTAGAAGAAATGTAGGAAGAGGAAGTAAGGCAGACAGGGATTGTAACCTGCTCTCTGGCTTGACCAAACAGAAACTGAAAAACCTGACCCAGTGGGCTATACTGATGGGAGTAGCTCTGACATATTACAGTTCATAACTTGATATAGCTACCTTGCCCACAGACTAAAATTTAAAGTGCAATGGAAAGGAATTCCTCATTAGGATGGATGGTTTTCCCCCTTACTTTCCCCTTTCGTAAACCTAATTATCATGGCCCATTTAACAGTCACCGGTTAGAAGTTTTTAATCGATAATCAAGATCGTTGAAGTACTAATTTTGTTCTCTTTGAAAAAAAATTTTTTTTTCATCTCTTGACTTTAAACATTTGTCCATTTCCCACACTTGAAAACAGAGCTGATGTGCTCTCTCTACTTTGGTCAGGTTAGCCTGATAAAGTGCAAAACAAATAAAAATAAGGAGAACAACTGTTTTCACTTTTTAAACAATTATATGACTGTGGCTTTTAACAAGGACAGCAATTAATAATTTGATGTTGTTTTACATTTCCATCATTGTGCTGGAAACTGTTTCCACCTTAAGCCATTTAGGATTTTCTAATCCTAAGGGAAGGGTATAGACAGATTAAGAAAGAGGTAGTATACTCGTTTTCATTTAAACTGATGAAATTTTAATTGTTAAAACCTAGGGGTGTTCTTTGACTTTACAGCTAGTAACACTACTCTTGTAGTATGGCTTAATGGCTAAGAGCATGGGCTCAGAGCCAGTTGACCTATGTTCAAATCTTGGCTCTACCATTAACTGGCTTTGTGACCCTGAACAAATTCCTTAACCTTCCCATGTCTTATTTTCCTCATTTGTATAATAGAGATTGTAACAGTATTTACTTCACAGTGTTGGTGTGAGGAATAAATGAGTTATTTATTTCACATAAAGCATTTTGAACAGTATCTGGCTCATAGTAAGTACTCAATACATCAGCCACTGTTATTATTTTAAATTCTTTAAATCTCTCATTTTTTTCCATGGCCCTCCTTTCATTAAATTGCTAATCAGGAATCTGGTTGCTTTGGGAGCCTGGGACTCTTCACAGAGATACTGGGAATCAACAGCACCCAACCCAGCCTTACAGGGCCACACATCCTTGCACTCTTGAGTCTGCTTCTGAGTGATCGAAGGGTCCCAGCAGCCTCCCTTTCCTTGTTGGAAGTGAGCTTGTGTGCTCACATTTCCTGGGTATGCCTTTTATATTTTATAGGCCCTCTGACCTGTACTCATCAGCCAGAATTTACCAAGGCTGGGAACAGAGCCGTCTGGCCAGGGTGGGCTGCAGATAGAAAAGCCATTCTAAGATCACACAGCTGGGTAGGCCAGGAAGTGACCAGGGTCAGACAGTGAACTAGGTTTAACTAGACACTTGGTATCAAAGAGACTAGGAGAAAATGAGATTCAAGGCAAATGGAAGCAGTCAGTTAGGCACTAGGGCGGAGGCTCCAGCCCCCCGTCAGCCTTCAGAAGACAGCCATTGAGGACCCTGTATTAAAGATCAATCCTGACAGACTGTAGTCGGGTGCTGAGCATTGAGCCAGATGCTCAGGGGACTTGGTGGGCCTTGTCCTTCAGAACAGAACTCCCAGGTTGTGGTTGTTAAAAGGCACTTGTAGCCACATTAAGCCATCAGCCTGTGGGCTCAACTGCACATCCCCAAGGACTGTGAGTATCCATGAGAAATGGCAGGCCCCACCAGATCTAGAGCTTGAGGGAGCCAAGCCAAGAGTTCAACTGCTAGAGAAGGTGTGCTGTAGGCACACATGTGAAATCTCCACATTACCAGCAGCTTATGAGGAGGTTATTTGATTGCGAATAATCCTTTTGTGGGTTTGTGTTTAAGCTGTCTGTGCCTCATGGAATTGCCAATGAAGACATTGTCTCCCAAAACCCTGGAGAACTCTCCTGTAAGGTAAAGTAGAGCTCTTTCTTTAGTGACTACTGTAAAAAAAAAAAAAGAAAAGAAAATCACTGGCCTCTGTTAGTGCTTTTACACATTATTAAATGCTTTAGGCTCCAAAGATTAAAATATGAAAAAAGTAATAATGTTTTATTAAATAATAATTGCCTCAGAGTGTGGTATTATGCCTTACAGCGTGGGGATGTACTTGTGATGCTGAAGCAGGCAGCGAATAATTACTTGGAATGCCAAAAGGGAGAAGATATTGGCAGAGTTCACCTGTCTCAGATACAGATTATCACCCCACTTGATGAACATCTTAGGAGCAGACCAAACGTAAGGAATTAATATTGCACAGCCCTCATACCACACACGGCAGCACATTTCATAGAACTATTAATTATATCTCATCCTCAGGTTTTTATTAGCACGTTTATTTTAACCAGAGTAGAAATTATAGTAGCGTTTTATTTCATTTTAAGAGTAAATTACTTCTAAAAGACTTGCCACTGCCATGCTAATCACTGATCTACACAGAATGGCTACCATGTGCTTAGCCTGCTTCATCTCGTGCTGACTTCAAGCGGCCGGAGCGAGAGCTATTTATTTTTGGAATAATGTAAACATGTTTGCCAAAGTGGTAGAGATTAGTTTTCTCGCAGAATGGATAATTACTTTTAAGGAGGCCCTATAAATGCTAAGTCTGACATTAAGAAACACTTCCCTTTAAGATGTAAGCATAGAGTAACCCTTATTTCTCTGACCATAATCTTTATCTGATCAAAATAATGAAATGAAATGTAATCCAACAACCTAAAGTCACAGTGTAGGCCTAACGAATCTGTGGAGCCTGGGAGAATGCAATGATTGTTGAAGGTCATTTGTTTAGCAAGAAGAATTGCACTGAATGATTTATTACAGAGGTATATTTGTAAAAGAGCTTCTTAAGTTATCCAGGTAAATTTTCACTATCTTGTTAGTTAACGGGGCACACATGAAAAATAATAGCCACCTATCACTTAACTCAAGGGGAAGTATTTGGTTTGCCATTTGACCTAGTTTTCAAAATCTATTCCAATTCTTTCTTCTTAGAAGGCAGTTTATCTTTTGAAGTTTGCTAAGAAATGTAAAAATTGGTATTTTGGAGAGCAGAGAAGGTATGTGTTAAAGTAGTCTCAGCTAGGATACTGAAATTCTAACTTTAGTCCACACAGGGAAAGTTCTCCTGTTGCTCATTTTCTCTTTGTTTTGGTACAGCATTATCCATCTGTCACAGCTGTCCTTCTCTCAGAACACACTGGTGGGCAATAGTAGGAGTTGTACTGCCAAAAAGCTTTCCTTGACAAAAAAAAAAAAAAAAGAAGAAGCTAAAAACAATTAGAAGTTATTCTTTTACAACAGTCCAAAGTTTTTTCCACTTTATGTATTTATTTGAGACAGAGCAAGAGCAAGAGAGAGCAGGAGCGGAGGGGAGAGGGAGAAGCAGGCTCCCCGCTGAGCAGGGAGCCCGATGCGGGGCTCGATCCCAGGACCCTGGGATCACGACCTGAGCCTAAGGCAGACACTCAACCGACTGAGCCACCCACGTGCCTCAGTTTATTCCACTTTGAACATTACCTTCTTTCCCCTTGTACCAGAGACTTGAAGACATCTGGCCTCCATTGGCCAACTACTGGCGATACAAAAATGAAGCTTCCTTTAGACTCTGGGTTCATGGCTAGCATTATATTTTTTTAGAAAAATAAAACTTACCTATTTGTAAGCCTAGTTTTAAGGTAAAAAATTATAAAAATGAGCTCTACTCTCCCCTACCTTAGTAAACAGAAAGTAGTGAACATTATCAGTTGAGGTTGCATGTCTCAGATCACGGGGAAAGTGGGAGATGGTTACCTAGTGCCTGGTTGTGAGCAAAGATTTATGTTCCAGCGAGCTGGGTTTCAGTTCACTATACATCACCCCAGGTGGTTCTTTAACCTCTCTAAACTTCCATTTTTTTTTTTTTTAAAGATTTTATTTATTTATTTGACAGAGAGAGGCAGTGAGAGAGGGAACACAAGCAGGGGGAGAGGGAGAGGGAGAAGCAGGCTTCCCGCCGAGCAGGGAGCCCGACGTGGGGCTCGATCCCAGGACCCTGCGATCATGACCTAAGCCGAAGGCAGACGTCTAACAACTGAGCCACCCAGGCACCCGTAAACTTCATTTTTTTAATGTGGGAAATAGTTGTGATAATGCCACAGGGTTTTTTAGAATTGATTTATTGTATGATTCCATTTATATAAAAAGTACAAAAGAGGTAAATCCAGAAGGTAGATTGGTGGTTGCCCAAGGGCCACAGGGAAGGTGCAGGGGGAGTGACTGCTAATGGGGAGGGAGTTTCTTTGGGGAGTGATAAAAATGATCTAAACTTAGATTTGGTGAGAGTTGCACAATTCTGTGAATTTGCAAAAACTATGTACACTTTAAATGAGTGGATCTTATGGTCTGTGAATGATACCTCGAAGAGGTTTAAAAACTTAGAAGAGCTGATTAATGCACATAAGCTGTTTAACCTGGTGAGTAGTGCATAGTGAGTACATGCTGAATATTAGCATTTTTTATGACTCATTTGTATCAGCAATTATAGTCCTATTAGAAAGAGCTTTGGAATATATTCGATTGACCTCCCAGACACCCACCCCGATGGCGTGGTCTGAGTCGTACCGATCCCTTGTGGCCGGCCCTGTGCAGCCTGTGCCTCTTGCCCCTCAGCTGCCAGGCCCGGTTGATAGCAGCCTTGCTGAGGAAATCCTTGCCTTGAAGACAGAAGGAAAACCTAATTGGGAGGCTCAAGTTACTGTCCCGCCTCATCCACCCTCGCAGGCTTGGTTATGCTCAGATTGTAGGGCCCTTTGAAGAATCTTGTTTGTGTTTGGTGTGGGGTAAGCCTCCGACTTGATTGTTTCCCAATGGAGAGCCATCTAGCCTGACACCATTTACTGAATGGTGTAAATCAGAAAAAAAATGAAAACCACACATACACACCTATAATAACTGAAGTAAACAGTTTTTTAAAGCCCCTGCCGAATGCAAATACCTCATAGCTCTTTCCACAACTCCTGAAATTCCCATCATGCTCATTTACTTAGAGAAAAGCACTGAGCAGCTTCCAAGAAAATATCAGGGTTACTTTGGTAGGGTAGTATAGTGAGCTGCCATTAGCCATTACTGTCTTGGCCTAAATTAGTATTTCTGTTCATCTAACGTGAGAGAATACAGAATGCCTCTGCAGGGGGGCATTTTGGTTGAAAGATGAGGTAATAAATCTGCCTTCATTTAGTTCACAGGTTTGCGAGTGTTGAAGAGTTTTAAGTTATAACTCCAAATAATACCTTTTTGTCAGATTAGATGATGATGAGGAGGAGGATGTTAAGCCTGTCTGTTCGCATTAAACAAGAATAACAACTGCTTGTCAATGAGAAAAGGTCACTCTTCAACTATACCCTCTCCCCTAACCAATCTAGGAAGTTGGCTACATGGGTAGAGAATATTGAATTCTCTTTGCTAATTTACTTAGAATTACTGTTGAATAAACCATTTAGATTAAATAGAAAATCCAGGCGAGGCATGGGAAGTAGTGTTGTTGGCCTTCAAATTAGAGAAAGCATTCAGTTAAGTGGTAATAAATGAAATAGATTTTACTTTTTGTGAATTATACTTTTGTGGAAGTCATTAGGTCTTTTCATTATGAAAGGGAAGAGAGTATAAATTGCAGAGCTTTCTTCTTTTACCATTTTAATGAAGACTTAACTCTTAAGGCTCTGTTCTTGAGATTTACTACTGATCATAATTTAAGGAAAAAGCGACCTTGGCAAGGTACACAGATCAAAAACCACTACTTCAGAGTGGAATGGTACCAGTTTAAAAAAAAAATAATAATAATAGGGGTGCCTGGGTGGCTCAGTCGTTAAGTGTCTGTCTTCGGCTTAGGTCATGATCCCAGGGTCCTGGGATCGAGCCCCCCGCATCGGGCTCTCTGCTCGGCCGGGAGCCTGCTTCTCCCTCTCCCACTCCCCCTGCTTGTGTTCCCTCTCTTGCTGTGTCTCTCTCTGTCAAATAAATAAATAAAATCTTTAAAAAATAGTAATAATAAAAATAAAAAGTTAATTCCCTTTTATTTCACTCTCTTGGTTTCAAAAAAATGCTGGGGAATGTTACAATTGAGCGTTATTTCTGTCCTCCCTTGGCAAGGACACATGCCTTTTCAACTTGATAATGATTTCCTTGTTTGGTCCAACTGTGTGGTTTGCATCTTGTACTCAGAATGTAATTCTGTCAAGAGGATTCAAATGAGGGGGAAAAAAATGGTCTCAGAGTGAATAGCAAATCCAGCATCTATCCTGCACACTTCACTCAAAGCCCTGTTTTCCCCACTCAGGATCCAAACCATGCTCAGAAGCCTGTTGACAGTAGTGCCCCTCATGCTGTTGTTCTTCATGATTTTCCAGCAGGTAAGCACATAAATAATCAAGTGCTAGAGCCTTAGGATCCCCAGGCAGTCATCTTCCCTGAGTTAACGTCTCGAGGACGTCTTCATTTTCTGTGCCAACAGAGTTCCATCTGATCTATCACCCTGCCTTCAGGAAGGGTCGATTGTACCCAGCCATTCCAGAGAGCTTAGCTGCATTCCCTTGCCTTTGAAATTCCCTATGAGAAAGAGTGAGGGGAGGCAGAGTGGGGGGGCATGGGGGGGTTCCCTTACAATGAACAAATAGCAAATTGCTTACCAATTACAAACTTTTAACTCTTTAAAAACAGTGTATACCAATTAATAATTACAGTGAAATTCATTCTAATTTAAAAAGTGAAATCATTTTCTCCTAAGAGTTACAAAACCTGCACACATAGCTTAGCTGTTACTTACAAGATGAAAATATACATTTTTTGTAATCAGTTTATTTTTATTTATTTATTTATTTATTTATTTATTTATTTATTTTAAAGATTTTATTTATTTATTTGACAGAGTGAGAGAAGGAACACAAGTAGGGGGAGTGGGAGAGGGAGAAGCAGGCTTCCCGCTGAGCAGGGAGCCTGATGGGGGCTTGATCCCAGGACCCTGGGATCATGACCTGAGCCGAAGGCAGACGCTCAACAACTGAGCCACCCAGGCGTCCCTGTAATCAATTTTTAGATACCTTTTATATCCAGGATTACAAGGCTACAGATAAACTCCTGATTCATTTAACACCTCTTTTGATCTACTTGGTAGAATGATTTTTATTTTAGTGTGAGTACATTTGCTTGCTAAAGAGCTGTAGTAGTCCCTTAGTTAATATTTTGACATTAAAATGATTTTTAAGCATGATTGAGAATAGTAATTATTATACCATGTCTATAAAATCTTTCATTGTTCAATATGTATTCAGCAAAGGGTTTATATTGACCCAGTAGGAACCGTTGGCCAGCATAATTTTTTTTTTTTTTTAACCATTACCTATCAATCAATGCATGGTAAATGCATCTAATTTGGTCTTTAAAGAGGAAGCTCATAATAATAATATGCTCCCCAAAATAGTATATTTTTTAAGTCAATTTGATTGGTGTAATCTATTCTCAGAATCACTAGAACATACTGCCTCAGTGGACAGAAGTAAATGTTACTTTGTGCTCTGCTTTAATCAAATCTGCAACCAAGAGAATTCATCATATACGTAATTATAATTTTATGTTACAGAGCAAGCTGATGATTTGTACCTCACTTCTGGAGAAATTGTTTATCTTCTGGAAAAAATAGACCCAGATTGGTATAGAGGGAGATGTAGAAACCAGACTGGCATATTTCCTGCCAACTATGTCAAAGTAATTGTAAGTAGGGTAGTGCTTGTTTAAATTTGTCGTATATTCTGTGGGTTCTGTGTAACTTGCAGTTTGGAAAAAAACAGAAGCCTAGATTCTTATATTCTAGTTCATTCTCTTCCATTGATGCATCTGGTATTTGGAAAATTCAAAAAATAAAGGTTTGTTCAACTAAATTATGATTAATTATTATTATATTATATGGAGTATTGGAACTTAATGCCTAAATGCTATCTGAAATCCTAAGGTGGAAAATGACTGCAGGTCAACTGGCGAACCAACTCGGAGGGGTGGGTAGGCACTAAATGATATATATTAACTCTTTGAAACCTTTAGTAAACAACAATTAAATAGTACCAGATAGTCCCAAAGGAATGTTTTCTGAGGTTATGGTGCCACTTATTTTCTTTGGAGTACATTTCACTTTTGGTTTCTTTCATCCTTTCCATTCCCATTTATTTCCATCTTAAAAAAAAAAAAAAAGATTTGGGATTACTAAAGTACTTTCATTGGAGGTAGTGGTCCATTCATGGTTTTTCACAATTTAATAACTTCAAATCTGATTGGAAAAATTATATATATATATATATTTTAAAGATCTTATTTATTTGACAGAGAGAGAGACAGCGAGAGAGGGAACACAAGCAGGGGGAGTGGGAGAGGGAGAAGCAGGCTTCCCGCGGAGCAAGGAGCCCGATGCGGGGCTTGATCCCAGGACCCTGGGATCATGACCTGAGCCGAAGGCAGACACTTAATGACTGAGCTACCCAGGTGCCCCTGGGAAAAATTATATTAAAGCATCAGAATTTTTTACGCCCTCACAGCCTGCAATATGTGAGTCCATATTGTAGAGCCCCCCCAGTGCTAAGCCCGGGTATCTGTGAAACACGGAGAGAAAATCAGAATGCCATTTGAACATTTATATCAATAGGAAGAGTATGATTCAGTCCCTCATAGAACTTACTGATGCTGGAAGATATCAATAAAACTAGCTTAAATCGTTGAGCATTAACAGCTTATTTGAAGGGGAAAAAGCCAAGGATTTTCCATTACATCAGAAACCTAGGAAACAAAACAACAGAAAACCTGTATTTTTCAAATATAAATGAGTTTGAGTCTCGTGAATTCTAAAATGCGGGTCTTAAAAATTTTCCAGTATATATATGCCCTGATTCTTTAGAGAACTCTTTACCACATTCTCTAAGTTAATATTAAGAATAATGTTAGTTTTAGCACTTTCTCATTTTTCTTCTGCCCAATGTAGCAGTACTTTATTTTATTTTATTTTTTTTAAAGATTTTATTTATTTGACAGCAAGATATAGCGAGAGAGGGAACACAAGCAGGGGGAGTGGGAGAGGGAGAAGCAGGCTTCCCGCGGAGCGGGGAGCCCAATGTGGGGCTTGATCCCAGGACCCTGGGATCATGACCTGAGCCGAAGGCAGATGCTTAACAACTGAGCCACCCAGGTGCCCCCTAGCAGTACTTTAAAAAGCACAGTGACCACACTGAAATCAGTCACACCAGATCTGCCACATTATTGGTATAAATGCCACTTGTAAGTCTACAATTTTAAAAAATTGTTTTAAAACTTTTAGAATTTACCAGGAAGGGTGCTGATTTATTTCACATAAACTTCAAAACCTTACTTAGTTTTCAGACTTAGTGCGTTATGGTCAAATATTTTATGACAACCCAGCTCTACTGAGCCTTGTAAATAAGGTCTTCTATAAAGTGCCTGCCACTTAATAGATGCTCACTGAGTACTCATTCCTTTCTTCCTTCCATATTCACACTGAAGGAAAAGAAAATGGTCCAGAGTGAGGAAAAAGAGAGAACCCACAAGTTTGATTGGAAGGTTTTATTTGGGGTTCAGGAAAGTCTGGCAGAATTCTACCAATGGTTTGAAATAGATGGGGTGGTGCATGAGTGCCTGCTGCCTAGTTTCTGTCTTCCGTCCTCCTCATCTGAAGTTTTCAATTTAGAGGATGTGGGAAAGAGAAAACCCAGTCTGGGGTAGAGCGATATCAATGTGCTTATTCCAGCAAATAAGAGGATTGATTGGCTATTCAAGAGAGGCTACATCCCAGGTTACATATTTTTTTTCAAAACGCAAATTCTGGATTTCTTACCTTTCAGCACCTAGGTACTACTTCATCAGTTTAAGACCTAGACTGGTTCATTTCAATCCCATATTTTCTAATTACTTAGCCTTACATTTATTTCACTAAAATCTGAAAACAAAAAATTGTTGCCTTGACATTGTCTTTACAGATTGACATTCCAGAAGGAGGAAATGGGAAAAGAGAATCCATTTCAACTCATTGTGTTAAGTAAGTTTTATTTGTGTTCTTTTGCACAAAATGTAAAGGAGGAAGAATTACCAAACTTAAAACACTTCAGATATGTGTGATTATTCACCTTCTCAGTATGTCTTTGTAATTATGAGGAAAACTTGTTTAAAAAGCTTTAGTGTTAAGAATAAAAAAAAAAAAAATTAAAATTAAATAAATAAATAAATAAAAAGCTTTAGTGGTGGGGGCACCTGGCTGGCTCAGTTGGAAGAGCACATGACTCTTGATCGGGTTGTAAGTTCAAGCCCTATGTTAGGTGTAAAGATTACTTAAAAATAAAATCTTTCTTTTTTTTTTAAGATTTTATTTATTTATTTGACAGAGAGAGAGACGGCGAGAGAGGGAACACAAGCAGGGGGAGTGGGAGAGGGAGAAGCAGGCTTCCCGCAGAGCAAGGAGCCCGATGCGGGGCTCGATCCCAAGATCCTGGGATCATGACCTGAGCCGAAGGCAGACGCTTAATGACTGAGCCACCCAGGTGCCCCTAGAAGGTTCAGCTATTTTTGTCACTGAAAATATTTTAACGCTATAGAAATCGGAACCCTACAAAAACTGCTCGACATTTTGCACTGTTTTGTTTTTAAGAGGAATGAGAAGAAAGTAAAGGAAGAGTTAAGTTGGAGGGGTCTTCCTTTATGTCTGAAGACCTTTCCATGAATTTATATACCCTTTCACGCATCACTGTAATTCTTGGTGATTTAAAACACTGCCACAGTGCAACTCTATATTCCAGTTAGATGAGCAAATTAGTAGAATTCACTACCTGCTGAAGACTGTAAACCTGTCTTTGAATAGGTCAGACATAAGGAGAAGCTCTCCAAGGACTTCAGAAAATAAATGCAAAGGTTACCACAAATAAGAAAATTTCTGATGTCACAATGGTTGAATTCTATTTCAGGCTCAGTTTTTCTCCGATTTTTGAGCAGTGTTTACTGTGTCAGCAGGTTGAATTTAAAGTGGGCTTTCACAGCCGCTGATCCATTGACCTGACTTAAATCAGACTTTGATTGGTGCCAGGACCAACCTTGTCTCTTCAGGCAGTTGCATCCCCTTGACTGTTGCTATTGAGACTTCTTTCTAAAGCCTTAAAGCGAAGGTTTGGTATTAAACCATGCCTTCTGGAGACACAGTTTTATCTCTACTTTTATCTTATTTTCAGTCACAGTTGCAGATCATTAAAAGATTGTTCTCATTCTCAGAAGTGAAGCCTTTTTAAAGGTGATTACAGAAATCATCTTTAAAACAACAGTGTTAAGACTGTTACAATTTTTCCAGTTTGTTTTCTTCAAACTTTGTAGTTGTGAAGACCATGTATCTATATAGACAACTCACTGATGATTCAACATATATTGAGCATCTCCTCTGTCCAGCTGATGCCCATTGCATTCTGCCACGGAAGTTTCATGTCTTGCCCTGAGATTCTCAGGGTTGGCACTCCTAAAACTCAGTGCAGTTACGATTGAGAGGGTTCGGATTCAGCTATGGATTTCTGTGGCCCAAGCATACAAAGACATGGAATGAAATAAAGGTGATCAAAAGATGTGCCAATGTAGACTGGCCCCTCAGGCACTCATTTGGAATTCTGCATGTACTCTGTGACCTTGACTTTAGCCTTTTTTTTCTTTAGCCTTTTGAGTGAATGGGTTCATACCTAAAAGGTAAGGACTATCATTTAGAAATATACCTTATTCTTTTTCACAGAAAATTTTAAATTATGCCTAGTGTATCTTGTTCCATAGTAACACAGAATAAATATTTGTTGAAAGACCAAATGAAGGTTTTAAAGCATTTTGAAAGTTAGTACTCTCTAGTTTAACCCATAACCATGATCTTCTTTGTTCAGAGGCCCAAGATGTATCGCTCGGTTTGAATATATTGGAGACCAGAAGGATGAGTTAAGTTTCTCGGAGGGAGAAATTATTATTCTTAAAGAGTATGTGAATGAAGAATGGGCCAGAGGAGAACTTCTAGACAGAACTGGGATTTTCCCCCTTAACTTTGTAGAACTCGTGGAGGACCATCCCACCTCTGGTGCCAGTGTTTCAAGTGAGTATGAAGAATATGGTTTTTTATTTTGTTCTATCCTAATTCAACTAAACCAAATAATAGGATAATACTTAAGCTGATTAATAATTCATATTTTTTAAAATAAAAAGAAAAATTATTTTTAAATGGTAATAGTCATTATTGGGATAGCCATTGTTATAATCTCTCAAAGATCTGGTGTTGGTGTTTTAGGTAATTAGCAATAGCTTCATATCAGAAATGGTGAAGAATCAAAAACTTTTAAACAGAAGTGGACTACCTAGTATAACTAATGTGTGTCCCCCACTTTACAGTAAAGAAAACAAGCCCAGAGAGGATGGTACCAGTCAGAGATAGCTAGTGCATGAAGAGACTGATCTAGAGTCCCAGACTTTTTACTCTCTCTGCGGTTTTTCTCCAGTACTAGTACATGGTCTTTATATCTATCTAAAGTTTTAACTTTTTTCTTTTTCTTTAACATAGACACAAAGCTACCACCGAAGACCAAAAAAGATGATTATGGTGCAAATTCTCAGGTAGGCTGCTTGAATAGGCAACTATTAAAACTGGGTTTCAACTCTGGGAAGAATATTAAAATCATAATTACCAAGAGAAAATGTTATAAACCATTTTTCAATTCCTGGAGCAAATGTTTGAAATAAATGGATAGATGGTTACTGTCTTTATTGTGTATAATAGAGCTCATACAAATGGGTTAGAAAGACATGCACACCCTGACAGCAAACAAGGAAAGAGACATGATTAGAATATTCATAAAAGAGATATTCCTGTAAGTGACTGATACTAAAAAAATTTTTAAAGGGCACCTGGGTGGCTTAGTCGGGTGAGCATCCGACTCTTGGTTTCAGCTCAGGTCGTGGTCTCAGGGTCGTGGGATCGAGCCCCACATGGGGCTCCATGCTCAGCACAGAGTCTGCTGGAGGTCCTCTCCCTCTCCCTCTGTTCCTCCCCCTGCTCCCCCCCTTCAAAAAAAAAAAAAAAAGATTTTAGTTACAAAGATGGTCATAGTGGTGATTTTATAATAGGAAAAAATTAGAAGCAATCTAAATGTGACCATTATTAGGAGAATGTTCTGAGACCACGAATACTAGATTTATAAAATAAATGTCATGGGAGGAAAACATATGTTATAGGGAAATTGAACATATAGCATAAAAAGACTAGAAGGAAATATACTTAAGTTGCTAACATGCAACTTTATGTGGTAAGATTATAGGGGGTGGGTTTTTTCCCTACTTCTTCATACATTTTCCAGCTTGCCAAATGTTTGGGAACATTTGTATTATTTTTATAATGGGAAAGAGAAAAAATGGATTAAAAATTTTACGCTGTATAGCATGACTTCAAAAGTGTTAAACGGAATAGGAATGTGGATGACTTCCGTTGTTTTTATGACCTATTTTAGAAGAGTGAGCCTGATGGGGTCGTTGTTTATCAAAATGTCACTGGTCATTGGGCTGTGTGTCTCTAAATTCTTTGATCCCCGCCCACTGATAAAGTCAAACAGGAAAGAGGGTGACTACAGTTCTCCAGAAGGAAATGTGCACGTAGTGCCTGCATTTCTTGGGAGTTGAAAGTACCGTTCTTGAAGATATGGTTACTCAAGTGCAGGAGCAAGAGGGGGTTTTATTGTTTTGTTTTGGTTTTGTATCATATGCCATCAGTTGTGGCGAACTTCAGATACGCTAGGCACTGTGCCAAGCCTGCTCCCTGCATTATCTCCTTCAGGCCTCACAACAACGCTTAGCAGCACTAAGACGAATCTGAGCTTCGGTCTAGAACCCAGACCTGTCTGGCTCCAAGCCTTTGCCTTTGCATTTTCCTTCGCATTTTCCTCTCCTCCCTGCTTGAGCTCCTCGAACATAGTGTTCCCATCCTGACTTGGCAGAGACACCTTTTTGCAGAGCAGATCCTTCCTCTGATGTGTGTGGGGTAAAGGCATTCTTGTTGGAGCATTCCATCAACTGGCCTACCACGTTTAGGTTATTACCCTACCAACCTTAACGCTAACTATACCTCATAAAATTAAAAGGATGAATTAATGAAGTCCCATACGATGGAATCTGATAGCCTCTGAATCAGGTAAAGACCTGGAATTAACAGACCCATTCTGATCCTTCCTAATTTAGGTAAAGAAGAGCTTCACTGAAAATTATATGCTTCACCAGAATTTTTTCATAGTGTCATAAATACTTATACATAAATACCATATGCTTTTACCTAATGTTTTTAGATTGATTGATTGATTGATTGATTGATTTGAGACAGAGAGAATGAGAGAGAGAGAGCACATGAGAGGGGGGAGGGTCAGAGGCAGAAGCAGGCTCCCTGCCGAGCAGGGACTCCAGGATCATGACCTGAGCTGAAGGCAGTCGCTTAACCAACTGAGCCACCCAGGCGCCCTTACCTAATGTTTTTAATGTAACTCATGTTACAGATGTTAAGATCACAATCAGCAAAAAGTTTTTGCTTAAGCATTGTATATACCTTAAAAGCAGAAAAGCTGCCAATCTCATCATATCTGTCATTTGGAATTCTATTTTAAGATAAAAGTTATTGGAAACTTTTATTTCTGAAAGTTGGTAGCAGACATAAAGTCTAGGGTGATTTAAAGAAGCCTTCAGGCTTTGAAATCTTTGACCCTTCAGCTTTTTTTTCCCCCACTACTTTTTTCAGCTTTATAGACATCAATGTCAAATAAAATCTCACATTTCTTACCGAACTTCCGGTTTGTAACAGGATAATAGTCTTTCTGGAGAATGGTGTGAAGCCCTTCACAGTTTTACAGCAGAGACAAGTGATGACTTATCCTTCAGGAGGGGAGACCGGATCCTGATCCTTGAGCACGTGGACTCTGAGTGGTGCAAGGGCAGACTGCGTGACAGGGAGGGGATCTTCCCAGCAGTGTTTGTGCGGCCCTGCCCAGGTATGGCAACTGCAGAAATGACTGTTACTCTCAGAGGGGAGCCCAAGACCTTTGGAATGATAGATATTCCTTTTCCCTCCAACCATGCTCAGTTTAACTTGTTTGCCTGCATTTGAAAGAGTTGATTCATAAATGTATGCAAACTCTTTTCATATACTTTGTTGAAGATATGGGGGAAAATAAAGACAAAAATGCCTTCACTTAATAATAATGGCTAATTTTGTCTACTAAATGTATGCCGTATAGTTGTTCTCCTGGTAAGAAAACATCATCTTTTTGCAAGTTAAGTAAATTCAAAATTATTTGGAATTATTCTGTCCCAGGAGTGAGAAGCAGGGGGCTTCTTAAAATTTTTGATTTGTGTTTTAGTCCAATGTCTCTCTCTATATATTTAAATTTTTGATGTCTTCACAGGTGAGGCAAAAAGCATGTCTGCTTTAGCACTGAAGGGGAAGAAGGCCAAAGCCTTATATGATTTCCATGGGGAGAATGAAGATGAGCTTTCCTTCAAGGTCAGAATGTGTATCTTTTTATAACTGCATTAAACAGCTATAAATTTCGAATTGTCTTCCACTGAAGAGTGGAACATTTGGGTGGAGTATTGATCATTAGCCAGGGGGAACAGATCTCAGACCCTAACTCTAATGGACAAGATTAGAGAAGGTGAATAGGGCACATTTAAATTATCAGCAAGGCGTTTAAGTACTTTTAAAACCTTACTGGCCTGATAGCCCCACAATCCCCAAACAAATTCCTTATTCCTAGGTCTTGTAACATCTGATCTCAACAATACTAGAATTTTCATTGGTGGCCCTAGTGAAGGATAATTCTCTCCATAGCTTTTGCAGCATGTTACTGTCATATCATTTGAAATCAGTGGAGAAATCAGATGGTACCTACTACAGTTGGCCACTGCAGCAGTCTTCATAAGACGCTGGAGTCTTGTCCACAAAGATACTGACTACACTTTGGGGAAATGATCCCAAAAGGTTAAGTTCCTATGCAGAGGTTGCTTATTTATGTGTGTATGTATATATGTATGTAATCTTTGCACCCAGTGTGGGGCTTGAACTCATGCCCCCGAGATTAAGAGTCACATGTACTTCTGACTGAGTCAGCCACGCACCCCTGCAAAGGTTTTTTTGGTTTTTTGTTTTTGTTGTTTTTTTTTTTTTTTGGAGTAAAACAAGATTTCATTGTTGACAAGGTTACTTCTGAGTTGCAGAAATTCTTCTGGTTTTTCCGTGTACACCCCCATTCAATCTTGACTGCCATAATGAGACAGACAGAAAGCGCGAGGACACTTTTTTCTTGCATCTCTAGTGGAAACCTTAGCAGCAGACAGGAACTGAGGTTTTTTTTGTTTTTAGCAGCCTAAAATTTCATCTTATTTTACCGAAGAAGTGCCTCTTCTTTTTTGTTTGTTTTTTAAAGAGTGAAAACAGAATATTTCCATGATCCTGTTTCCCCAGCTTACAACTGGACCATGGTCAGAGGAAGGCACTCAGGACAGTACATTGGGACTGTTCCAAGAGGAAGGAGGGTGGGCTTAGCAGCAGTTGCCATCAGAACAGCCCACGTCAGACACTGGGGAATTCTCCATCATCGGATACTCAGCCAGAGGCAGGAATGCCATAGAAAGAATTAAAGCATCAGGGAGTGATTGGAGAAGAGGAAACTTAAAACAGCAGGTGCCCCACCACCTGTCTAAAACAAAACGAGGGAAACGAAGGTGATATTGGGAAGTCACGGAGTAAGGGGCATGCAGAGATAAATCAGTATAAAGTTGCTAACTTTCCTATTTTGTTACAGAGTTTTCCATTCTGGGAATTTCTTCCTTTTCATATTAAAATGTCATTTCTCTTATAAAATGCTCTTAGTAAATGATATTTCTTATGCAGAATTATAATTTGGTAACCTTGTATCAGTTCCTCTCCCCCCCCCCTTAATTTCTTGGTTCTCAAAATCCAAGTGTTTGGGAACTGTTGCCCTTGTCCTTTTCAGTCATGGGAATCAGTGGCTCAAACTTCATTCTTTTTATCTTTACGAAAAATGTTACTGCAAGTGAACAATCTGGATTCAAACTTTTTGGATGTTATTTTAGCCTTTGTTTAAGTTATGTCAGTATAAATAACAGAATTCATAGTATTCTCCAGAAAAAAGTTGCCTTCATTTTACAAATGACTGACTATAAACAAGGTAGTTCTCGAGTTTTTTAGTTAAGGGATTCATTGTTAATCATTAATATTTTATTAAATATTCACAGAATATTAGTAGAACTTTTTTGAAAAAGAAATGTCCTAGCCATCAGAAAACTGACATGGTATGTTCACATGGACCAGAGCCCCCCCCCCCCAAAAAAGTTGCAACTATTATATTATAATTTAGGAACCAGAAGGAACTCATTTATAATAGAAACTTTGAACAGCCAGAATTTTTACGGATTTTGTCAGAGTAAAGTAAATTAATGACATTTGATAGCATTTTTCCTTTCCATTTTCCATAAAGACAGGCCTTAAATCAAACCATTTTTCCAGAGGGCAGTGTACTGGTGCTATAAATAAAATCCATTTAGCCTGATAAAGAGATTCTTAAAAGTAGCCAGGGTCATCCTGAACCATGAGAGAATCTTAAACCCAGATTCTAAGAAATGGTTAGAATCCATAAAGAACAAAATAGTTTCAGGAGATAATTTCAAAAATGATGTCTTCATCTGTTGAGGAATTATAATTCACACATGAATAAGATACACAGTGCCTTTGACTGACTTGATGAGGGTAAATCAGATGTTCTGAGTCAGGGAGAAGCTCTTTTAAAGACAGGAATGTAAATGTGATTGTGAGGCCATAGAAGCATGGAATAAACCAAATGGTAAAGGAGGATACCATTATGTGGAAGAATGAATGTATAGTACAAAATGCTCAGGATGTTGAGAAAAGGCAATTATAGTAAGAGCCTTTCTAAGTAAAAAATCCACTGTGAAATGTGATGGCTGTGTTTTCCAATGGTTAGCAACACCGGCCCTGAAACCGTACTAGATTGGAATCCTGTCCCTACCACTAAACATTTTTTTTTTTTTAAAGATTTTATTTATTTATTTGAGACAGAGAGAATGAGAGACAGAGAGCATGAGAGGGAGGAGGGTCAGAGGGAGAAGCAGACTCCCTGCCGAGCAGGGAGCCCGATGCGGGACTCGATCCCGGGACTCCAGGATCATGACCTGAGCCGAAGGCAGTCGCTTAACCAACTGAGCCACCCAGGCGCCCCCTGTCCCTACCACTAACTAGACATGCAGCCCCAAGGAAGCTGTTTAATCTCTCTGAGCTTCGGGTTCCTTCTCTTTAAAGAAGTCTATAAAAATCTCTCTCTCAAATGGCAAAGTAACAGTACTCTGGGACTGCAGTGTTGTTTAAATGAGTTAATTCCTATAAAGTACACAGAGTATAGAGTAGGACTATTTATGGTAAGTACATGGACCCTCTTACCTTCAAGTCTTTGCTGAAATGTCACCTTCAGGGGGGCGTTCCCTGACTGGAACTAATGAGATAGCAACCCCACACTTTCTGTCTCCTGGGCCAGCTTATTTATTTGCTTCTCTACTCTAAAATGAGGCCTTTATTCCTTGCCGTATGCGTCATACTCAGAACAGTGTCTGACACATACTGGGTGCTCGATAAATAATTGTTAAATGAAAAAAATAGATATAACCTATATGACATTTAGGACTGTTCTTAAAGAAGAATTTTAGATTAGGAGTAGTGAATTTGGGGGGCACAAAATGCAAGCGGGAAAATAAAAGCACAGTGAGGGTGATAACGGCGAAGGAAGGGGCTCTGAGAAGAGGCATGCAAGCAAATGGTGTCGTAAGGTCTAGATCATCTGTGGGGCGGATCGTTTAATCCACTGGGCAAATCAGGATCAGTGAGTGACATCTAGAGATAAACCATGCCTCTCCAAGGAGGCTGCTTACCATGCTTATCCTCAACAGAAAATAATCATTATTTCCAATTTCTGTATTCTGACAGGCTGGAGACATCATAACAGAGCTGGAATCTGTAGATGATGACTGGATGAGTGGAGAACTAATGGGAAAATCTGGAATATTTCCCAAAAACTATGTTCAGTTTTTACAAGTCAGCTAAAGGTGAAGCTTGACTGTGTTCTTTGGCACAAGAACTCACTTGAACTATCACTTTGACTATCAGATATGTTTTTGCACTATTTTTGTAAACCTTTGAAAGAAATATCTATGTACATGGTACACTAGAATTTTCTGAAAGCAGAATATGTCTAGGTTTTGTAGTCCTCTTTCATTCAGAGTAACTAAAACACGCACACGGAAACCCATGAACCACCCCGGTATCCTACCAAGGAGGACGTCAGGCAGGTTTAGCAAGGCAGGTACACACTTCCCCCAGGGAAAGCGTCGGGTGCCGTGGCAGCATGGGGAGGCTTACGAGCAGATGTTGCACTTGGACATCTTTGCATCAGCACAAGGAAATTAACCGTGCTTCTTCATTTTTTACTTTAGTTTAAAAAGAGGACATTTTATATTCTCTGTGCTGTAATTATCAGGACATGGTTGGTAATCTAAATTTCATTTTTGACATTCAAATTAATTCTAACCATTTAAGCGCATTATCCTTATTACCAGGGCAAATCTTTGCTTCAGGTGGGGCAGTTTATTAACTAGCTGGAGCCTTTATAAGCACTTGGTGAATCAGCTCATGCTCATCAAATGCTCCTTATGTTATCAAGTATTTTTCCCTCTGTCCAAGGATTTAAAGGGGGTTAAAATTTGATGTATCTTAGTCAAAAGAACCAAAACCATCCTGAAATGCCTTGCTAATACAACTAACCCTTCCACATACCTGCCATACCTTCTTTCTTCCATGTATACTTTATGCTAACGGGGTTATTATAAAGCACATTTTCTGAATCTGCAATCATTCTTTCGACAATTACTGGTGCCCAAAGAAAAATTCATTTTCTTTGTGTTACCCCAGTAATATATAAAAACTGTGTCTTGTCATAGTGGTACATTATGAATCACATATATCTCAGAATACAGAGCAACTGTTAAGACAGAAAACACCAAACCCCCACAGCTTATTTCTTTCCACTATAATCAGAATGAAAAATAATTTAAGAAGGCCCAAGACTGATACTTCTTTGGGTATTTTTCCCCCAGCTTATTCCTGCGCAAATTATTAGAGTAAATAAAAAGCCACTTTCCTGCTATCCATTTGTTACACATTCCAGACTTAAGATAAAAGTGGTTCTTTATGTGACTGAATCAATTACAGCTTATGGGCTTAAGCCAAATAGGTCGAAGACAATCTTCCAAACAGATCAATGGAATAGAATTTCATTGGAAATGTAAAACACTTCCCCAACAACCTTCACGATTTTCTTCCATTTTTGAGAAGAGTTTCATATGCTTGGTCACTTTTTATCTTTCGTCATTGTTTCCCACTGTCCAAAAAGTTAGGCAACCAGTTGGCAACAATTAGGTGAACACCATGTGGGGTTCTGTAAGGGAGGAGATGTTTGTCTTTGATGGAACTTCATCTTCCAGCTACCTGGTTATAATTGATTTTGGAGTATGGGAGCTGTTTTTCTTACATTTTGGTTAAAGAGGACAGTATAAAGAAAACTCTTGTCAAATCTCACTTAAGAGTAATTTCATGAGAAATAGTGACTTGGAGCATTATCTCCACTGAATTCTTATTTGCAGCAAGGTGCACAACAGCAGGAAGTGGGGGATGTGTCTGGAATAGGACATGAGGTATAATATTTGCCTGTGTAATTTTGACATCATATATCAAAGATCGTGAAAGCCTAGCTTTATTGGAGAAAAATATCCCTCTTAAATTTTGGCCTTGTGTTAGCAGAATGGTAAGTGCAATAGTTGTAAATCTACTTGACACTATAATAAACTGAACTGAACTTTTTAAAGTCCTTTTCTCATACTAGACTGAGTCTTTTGAGAATGGAGATGGTACCATTGTATCTCCAGCCCTTTGCATGATACAGGGCTCAATAAAAGTTGGTTGGTTGGTTGGTTGGTTGGTTGGATAATTGGTAGATTGGTTAGTTCAATGGAAAGCTTTCACACATAGCAATACTGTCTTGGATACACCAAGATCCAATATCTTTCCTCTTTAACTTGTTGACAGAAATCTTTATTGAAACAAAATCCAAAGTTTTGTATCCTTTCACTCCTTCATGGCACGTTTTTTGCTTGCCACTTACTACCCACTCAATTGACAAGAAGCCAAGATGTTGCTCAGGATGGGTTTTCATAGGTACCTTCTTGTTCTCTTATAATGATTGAACGTAATTTTTATACTCAGTGAATTTCATAGGGGAGAAATAGGAATGTATTCTTTTTCCTTTCCATAATTTTAGGTGAAACCTGATATTGTACATCCAAGCCTACTCAAACTAGAATCTTCAAATTCTTTTTCTTTACTGGGTGGAAACTAGAGAAGTTATTTATTTTTTTATTTTTTTTTTTTTAAGATTTTATTTATTCATTTGAGACACAGAGATAGAGCGTGAGCAGGGGGAGAGGGAGAAGCAGGCTCCCCGCTGAGCAAGGAGACCGATGCGGGGCTCGATCCCAGGACCCTGGGATCATGACCTGAGACGAAGGCAGCTGCTTAACCAACTGAGCCACCCAGGCGCCCCTAGAGAAGTCATTTAATAAATTATTCTCATCCTTTTGAAATACTTAAAAGAGTTTTTTTAAAAGATGTCCTTGTTTACATAGCTGGGGGCTTAATATAATATATCTGTCATTGTGCTCATGGAAATCACAGGTTTTAAATATAGCCTGAGGGCGCCTGGGTGGCTCAGTCGTTAAGCGTCTGCCTTCGGCTCAGGTCATGATCCCAGGGTCCTGGGATCGAGCCCCACATCGGGCTCCTTGCTCAGCGGGAAGCCTGCTTCTCCCTCTCCCACTCCCCCTGCTTGTGTTCCTGCTCTCGCTGTCTTGTCTCTCTCTGTCAAATAAATAAATAAAATCTTAAAAATAAATAAATAAATATAGCCTGAAACAGTCATAGTGAAAAACAATCAGTGCATTTATCAAGATTTGTTGTTAGAACGAGCATTTGAAAAAAAAACATTTTTCTATACTATTTTTTTTTTTAAAGATTTTATTTATTTATTTGAGAGAGAATGAGATACAGAGAGCATGAGAGGGAGGAGGGTCAGAGGGAGAAGCAGACTCCCCGCTGAGCAGGGAGCCTGATGCGGGACTCAATCCCGGGACTCCAGGATCATGACCTGAGCTGAAGGCAGTCGCTTAACCAACTGAGCCACCCAGGCGCCCCTCTATACTATTTGTTATACATCAAGTCTTAACAATAATTTTTTGGTTTTTATTCAGTTTCTTAGGCTTAGATACATATACCTAGAGAGATAGTGATGGATATTTGGGCTAATTATAATAGGAGATATTCATTATAGTCATTAATGGTTAATTCCTTTTTATGGTTAATTCCTTTAAATTAATGCCAGATGCACTTGGGCCATATGATTCATAATTCAGTGCCATTTTGAATACTTAACAGTGAATTTTTTCAGAACTAATAGGAAATCATTTTCTAACCTATGCCTTTTTTACTTCACTGTAATTATAGAGGGGAAAAAAACACAAAGCCTAAATCAGAACAACAGCACCATCTAGGGGCCTCTCTCGTAATTGCAAGCTCATCCTGTTAAACCACAGAAGAGTTGGCCTCAGACCAGAGCTCAAGTTGCAGAGGTTAAATGATTTGCCTAAGGTCATACAGGTATGGCAGAGCCTAAAGCAAAACCTAGCTAGCTCTACTGATTCCCAGTTGAGTAATTTTCCCATTTGTGTGCTAAAATGATACATTTCTCTTTAGCAATTAAACAAGTAGATTTGATCTGTTTTATTGTTCTATAAACATAACTTCTCAGGTATACATAATTAGAATGAGTTGCAGAATGTGTTGTGATGAGCACTGGGTGTTATACACAACTAACAAATCACTGAACACTGTGTCAAAAACTAATGATGTACTATACAGTGGCTAACTGAACATACATACATACATACATACATAAATACCAGTTTAAAAAAAAAAGAATGAGTTGCAGAGAATAAATTAAAGCCTTAAATTTATTTCTCTTCAAGAACATAAAAGAATTCCTGCTTAGCTTCTTAATTTTATGTAGACAGTTTATATTGATGTTACCTAAAAACTCAAACATGAACTGATCCATTAATGGGGATTCCTTTTAGGCTTAAGAGGGAATTTATGAAGGCTTGAAACATCAGATCATGAAAAGATGTTTCTGTGAGGCTGGGCTCTTGGCAAGAGCAAAAATTCCTAAACCTAGGTTTTCATACACATGTAGTGCAAAACACTGTTACGGTATTTGGAGTCTAATAGATTAACTCAGGCACTGTTAAGCTAATAAATTTATATTTCAGAGTCTGGGATACATTCTGGACTTTTTTTTTTTTTAAAGGAATCTTAATTGTATGTAAGCCATGGATTGTTTCTCTTCAAATACTGTAAATTAGCCAATAACTCATTGAAATATTTTTCAGGAGAAGTAGTGATTCAAATTCCTTTAGAATTTAGAAAGGAAGTTTAGAAAGGAAAATTACCTATTTGTTGTCTATCCTCTTTTAACAGAAATTAGCTGACAGTCTTAATACCACAATACCCATATTTAGTTCTTCTTTACAATTAAAATAAAAAGGACAGTGACATTTATTTCTTCAGTCATAATTAAGTTTGTTTATTCAATAGCGCCCTGACTCAGAGGACCACGGAGGCCCACCACAATGTGCTCCCGATTCCAAGTAGCCAACAGCTGAAGAGCAGATTTGTTACTTCCAAAGAGCATCAGAACATGTAACTAACCCTTCAGTTCAGTACTATACCTAAGAAAGCTCTATACAGACATACCTCAGTGATATTGAAGGTTCAGTTCCAGACCACTACAAT